TGTGCATATAGATAAAAGAATAAGAATAAAAAACGAAGCAAATATACATAAGAGTTATTAATACAAATCTTTCAAGTGGGACAGTCTCTTGTAAATTTTAATAATTGGTACTTATCAGCTAAATGACGTGGAGGAAGTTAGTTGTAATAACGATTATGAAAAAAAAGATAGTGACAAGGATATAAAACAAAGAAAAGAAAGCGTCATTAACTTGCACTGGCACTGGAGATTGTTTCAGCTTTTTATCACTTTGCTTTATCAAAGACTAACTTCTCGATATCTGAGTGGTCGCGGCCTCTCTGAGCGGCCACTATAGACCTTGTTTCATATAATGTATCTATTCTAAAATCTGCTATATCTTTCTCATGCTTTTAGTTTGACTTTTTCTAATTTTAGTTAAACAGCGGTTAGAATTTTTATTAATAACCTTCCTAAGCTCCAAGCTAAAACGATTATTATAGAACGTATTTACTTTGTATAGTGTAGTTGTGGTGCAGAAAAAGAACGCCTCTCCATGGCGGATGGAGCACTTGCATTACCCCATATTTTCGCTACAATGTATATTATACTTGTCGACAATGATGCCCATGTTGTGTTGCTTAAGTCTTTTTGCTCCCAAAAGAACTCCCATTATTGGGAACAGCTGTTAAGTGTTCCTAGGTAACGTTTCTGATGTTGACGTACAAGTTTTAAGCGACAAAAAAGGAATTATTTGCTCTCTCTTTTGTAGTGTTCCAGGGTGGAAATTCTAAATTAAATAAGACGCACGCATTAAAGCAGAATTATCGTACATTCTAGCGGAGCTGCTACTATTGAATTTGGTCTATCCCTTTTTGTATCGTTTGTCTCCAACTATGTCCAGGAGAGTTATTTATGAGCGTTTTGAAAGAGGCAGTGAACTTGATCCATTTAACAATTTAAGTCGCGTTGCAGCATCAGAGATTTATAAAACTTTGAAGAAACATTATATCTTTAGTTTACTTTGGGTGTTAGGAATTCTCGTCTGTTTTTTTGCTAAAGGTTAGTACCTTGTTTGAAAAGTTATATTACTTTACTTATACACATATTTTTTTCCTATTATAATTTCACTCTTTCCCAAGGCTATAAACCCTCCTCAGAGGCTTTAACCAGATATCACAATAAGTTAGCTACTTTGGACCAAAGTGCTTTATATAGAGCAGAAGATGACTTATTTGTAATTGAGAAGCACTATTAGTGCGTTACATATCTAAATTTTTAAAATTATTATATTTTTGTGTATTCTTTACTTGCTTTTGTTATAAAAAGTCTCTTTATCTACTTCGTTTACTCAAAGGCTATAGTTTTCTTTTTAACTTTTTTATGTTAAATTTTTTAAATAAACAATTAAATAGAGAGCAAAGGCAGCATATTATCACTCAAAAGGATGGTACTCTAATAAATTTCTTTTTTGTTTAACTTTTTATTTGAAAACTTTTTACTAATAGGTTTTATTGCGATGCTGTTTGTAACTATCACTATCAGTAAGTTTTTATTACGGCATTCAATGCTAACAGTTTTAAAACATGTGAATCTTTATTGACCTTGCTAAAGTATAGAAAGTGTAACCTTTTTGGCTGCCATAATTGTATAGTTGTTTAGTATCAAACGGTTTTTTACTCTTTATATGGGGCGTCGGAGAAAGATCAGTATATAACGCCTTTCTAGTATTAGGAAAGTTTTAATGAGCGGTCCATTTTCTATTTCGAGCAATTTTAGCCAATATATGGGGATTTTCAAATCTTGTAGGACTCTGAGAAAAATAGCATTCTTGAACATTTTAGCTTATAACAGTCTCATCGCACTTATTTTCAAGGTGCCACTCAACTGAATTTCGTCAATCTCAAAAGTTAGGATTATGACTAGTAAGGGTTAACGATAGGCACTATTGAAGAAGGGTGAAGGGCTGGGTTTTGAGGAGTAGATTACTTCCTTACTCCTTGCGCATTATCAAAGGCTTTCAACTAGACTATTTTAACTTTTTTTTAAATTATTGCTATGTTTCTTTTTGTGAAATCCGATTAAATATTAATTTAATATAAGAGTTCGTTAGCGGCTAGTTATTTTTTTTTTTATGTAAACGTGTTACTTTATTTTTTTATATAAATAATATATATATTTACTTTTGGTCTTTGTCAGAGTCGTGACAGAATTAGAGAAAAAAGTTTCTTTGCTGACGAAGAATTATGAACATCAGTTGAGTGCTGCGAAAAAAGAGGTTGGTCTTTTCAGCGAACAGGGCGCCGAAGTAAACAATTTTTTTTAAATATATTTAGATTCTACTAAAACTCTAATAGGAAGCGCGTTCGCTATTTTGGAGTTACTTTGGTTCTGGAAAGAAGACCGCTCAGCGAATGACTTTTTATGATTTCCTTTTTACTGGTGCATTTACTCTTTGGAATGATGAAGGTTTCATTTAAACGTATAAAAGATTTTTTTGATCGAAATAATTAAATTGCCTTAATTAATTATTTCTTAGAGTTTTTTTGTTTTTAAATTGCTCAAATTGCTGTACTTACTATGTATTGTGCGCTTTTCTGATCTCAGTAGTAACTTTTAGCACGGCCGCTTTGCTTCTTAAACTTGACGCTTTCTCTAGCTCGCTTAGTATTTTTTTTTGGTTAAGAACTTTAGTAATTTTTTGTAGCCAAGAAGTTTAATGTTGTGATGAAGCAAAGTTGGTTGCATTTCATAGTCTATTGCGATCCACGTGATTGAGTGCCATCACTACGTGGTACCTCAGAAAATTGCACAGTTCAAGGTAATTACTGACGAAATATTTTTATATTGCCAAATAGGCCTTCTGAGTTTTATCCTGCGGATGCTTTTAAACGTGTTTATTAACTTTACTATATCGCTTATCGGCGCCTTCTTTGCTTTTATTTTTTCCTTGTGGAGCCTAATCAGGTTGCTTTTTTTTTTAATGCCAATACTATTTTTTTTTAGCACAGCGCCCTTTACAAAGATCTTATCAACCCGATTTGCTTTCTGCGTTTTTTTTCTTCTTGTGTTGTTTCCTTGGATCTTTTGCTTTTGTCTTGACTTGGATAGCAGGTTAGAATTTATAAAAAAAAAATTTATATTAATTTTTTTTGGATTTATTTAAATTTTTAGAAATGAAATTTTATACCTCGAACACTTTTATTATATTTTTTTTCATTTATTAGGATTATTATTGGGCACGAGCAGCGTGGCGCTTGGTCTGGGCTCCATTATTATTCGTAATTCGCGGTTGGAAAGAGAACGTTATAGGCCACGTGGGCATTATTTCTCATATTCTTTTTAACTGTTTTATTGAGTTTTTTATACTACAGATGTTCCTTACGAAGAACAGAACTACTAATTTATAAAAAAATAATATGTAATCAAGATTTTACGGACGAATTTTTTGTGCTGTGTCGAAGATGTGTTTAAAAACGAAATAATTAAAAAAGAGAGATTTTTTTTTATTTGTATTTGAGAAAGATTTTGAGACAAGATTAAGATTTTTTTAATTGTCTGGAGATGTGCTACTTTTTATATAATTGTTTTTTTTTAATTACTTGTCATACAGGCTTTAAGTATTTTTATTGAAATTTAGTTGTTTCTTATAAGTACTTCTTCCTTAAAATTCGAATCTACCGAAATATATAGTTAATATAATAAGTAAACGTCATATTGGCTCGATAGTATTAGATTAATTTAATAAATATTCTTACCCTTGGTTCGTTAATTGTTTCAAATTTCGCCAGTAAACGGAAAAGCTTTGCCCTTAAATTTATTAATCACTTCATAGAATATTGGCGAGGGCCCATTTAGGAGTTTCTCGCAGTATAGTAGGTAGAAAAATTATTCTCGGAGGCACTTTAGGCAAGAAAAGTGCACGCAAGGATCTTTTTTACTCCTGCTTATCACTGGAAACTGATTTTTATTATACCCATGACTTTTATTACTTGTATTTTATAAGAGATTATAAAGCATCTTACGAGTTTTAGCGATTAAAACATTTTCTAAGGTAAAGTGATCGTGTGTGATTCCAATCTTATGAAATGCTTGCCTTCTTTAAACAAACTTTGTAAGCAAGTTTACTTTGTAATAACTAATTTTATATTTACATTTTTGAGTAAATGTTACCTAAGCAAGTGAAGTAACTTTGCCGCTTGTACTCTGAGACTTATGAGTGTTCACTTCTAGTATTTCGTAGTGATTAATAAGCTAGTTTTAAAACCACAACAAATATTTTATTTGTCATCCTATATAGTACATAATGTCTTAAGTCTTAAAGTTACCATAAAAAACTTTTAGAAAGAAATGTCTTGGAATTTTATAGCTTTATCTAATTGTATTCATAAAAAATACTGTGACTACAAAACACTGTCGAATGGAAATTTGCATGTATTTATACATAAATATTTCCGCAATCAGGACGTTACTGAGTTGATGAAACAATACATGATCCTTTAAGCGGTACATGAAACCTTTTTAATTTTTTTAAGAATAAATGTAACGAGTTGGAGGTAAGAAATAAAGTATACATAGAAAACATTAAAAAAAGTTAAGATGGAAAACCCCTTTCTTTAGAAGATTTTTAATTTGAAGTGATTTTCTGTTTGTAGTAGTACAATTTGTTTTATAAACACCATAAATTAGCTGTTAAACTGTAATAAAGGTGAATAAAAAACTGTGCCTTCCCGCTTCAGCTTGCCATGCGATAAGTATTGTAATATAAATTAGTTTATTGTAAATTGTAATGAAGTGTACTATTAAAAAACTTAAGTATTTCCGTAGCATTGCGATAACCCTTTGCTTCGGAGTTGATAAACTCTACACATTCTAAGTTGTCTACAATCATCAAGGCGGCTGCATTTTCCGGTTATTCTTTGAATGCAGTGTATTATAATAATTATTAATAGATTGTAATTAAGCTGTTAAGCAAACCTTGCTAATCGCTGAAATTATTTTATCTATTAAATCGTTAAGACATAGATCTAAGGTTAGCAACATACTTGTATAATATCTCTTAACAGTGTAAAAAAAACTTTAAAACTTTTGTATAAGCTTAACATACTCGAATATTTCTTGATAGTTTGTCGTAAATTAACACAGTAAACATTGCTTATCACTCAGATTTATTCTTTTTAATATCCGTTTGCTAAAAATCTTACTCATATAATACTTCACGATAAAAATATCGTAAATTTACCAAGTAAACTTTTACTTTTTTCAAAGATATTGAATGCTCAATTAATCCTTCTTAACAAATTATCGGAAAGTTTGTTTAAACTTATTTACTTAGATACTATATTTGTCAAAACATCATAACCTAAACTACATTACGATACCAGCTGCTTGCTTCTTAGCATAAGAGAACGCAATTAGTCGACTTCAACTTGACTAATTATCATCAACTTTAATAGGTTTAACATTATTACTTAGAGTATAGATCTGGTTTTCCTGTGCTTGTCTACCTCTAACTAAATTCTAAGCATTAAAAGTACACATCTAAAAAAAAACTATAAGTTGGAGATGGACAGGTAATTCAATATTGTAAAGAAAATTTGAATTTAAAGTGCCTTATTAAAAATTTTTTGTTAAAGAAATTAAATTTTATTAAACGATATTTCAGGCCAACTGTTCTGTAAATGTGACTTTTGATATCTAAATTAAATATTATAAGAAAGAAATAGATTTTTGTAATTTTTTAAAAAAAGTTTCTACAGAAAAAATAATAATAAACCATATTATAGCAATCAATAAATTAGGGTTAATACATGTTTTTTAATAATTATTGCTAATATGAACAGTATACTATATATAGTTTTTCACAGCACGTTACTGGTCTTAGAAGAAATTTATTGTATAAAAAGGAAAAAAAAAAAAAACTATGAATAATTACTTATTTTTCTTTCAAAATACTTACAAAAAAAATAAATTTAATTCAAATGATTAGTAAAATAATAAATATTACAAAGACTTCCACACATAAGCTTGCGCAAGTAAAAGTTCCATTTCACTTTCACTCCAACGAGCCGTTCTTGGTTTTAGATTTTGAAGTAAAGTTATTATATTCTTTAGAAAAATTAATTAAAAAAAACCAGCGTAAAGCGAAAAGTAAAGTTTAAGCACACAAAATTACAATTAGAAAATTAAGACTTTTATCAATATAAAAGTTAAGATCGTATTAAAATCAAGGCGTTTCACTAAAGCGGTTATTATAGTTAACTTTTGAGTGGAAGTTTAATAGTAACCAAAACTACAATTTTATATATTATAAAAGTTAGACATGGTAATATTATAAAAATAAAAATTTATTATAAAAGAAAAAAATGTTAATTAAATATAATATTCTAAAATATTTTATATAAAAATAGAAATAGATGCAAAGTAATAACTTTGCTTTGGCATAATAATAATATTTAGGATAAACGATTTCAACATTAATTACGAATTGAAAAATTTGTTATGAGGGCCCTTTCGCTAGTCGCACCAGTAGGAAAATACTATTATACTTGGGTTAAAGTAGATTCTACAAAATTACTAATAACGTTAAGTTCACGTGGCACTGTCTATTTATTTTTAGATGTAGGCAGCACCACGTGGTACAAGCAGCACACAGACAAAGAAGATATTCTACTAAGTAATCATAATAAATTTAAGTGAAATAAAGAAAATATTATTTACGGTAAAAATCTATAAAAAAAATTCAAAAGGGATTAAAATATCTACTATACGTGAAAATCAGTTTCTTTCTTAATTTCGTTGGACCATCTCACCAGAAATGCACCACAAATGTACAAATGGAGTTCAATAAAATTTTCAGTTTCAGCCTATTCAATTTTTTTTTTTTAATAAGTATAAGTAATACATAGAAAATAGTTTAATATCTACACTACTAGTACGGGAATTTTTTTTAAAACCAAAAAAAGCGGGGTGTTATTTCCAAACCAACTGTAAGTAAATTTATAAAACAGACTACTTTCAAAAATTATTATAAAAACTTTTTTTAAACATAAATTAAAAAAACAGTGAAGAATAAATAAGAATAAAAATGTTGTGGTCACTTAGCTACTACATTAGAGGAACATAGTTTTGTTACCAACATAAACTTAGCTAAAGCCAGTAAACTTAAAAATAATTGAAAAATAAGTTCAAAGAAATTAATGACAACGAAAAAACGAATAGGATACGAGATAGGTATCAAACATCCGAGCGACACATGGAAAAGGGAGCTCACGAATAAGCAAGCAGTTCATCCAGCGAAAAGAAAAGTCCAAGTAATCAACGCCAAACCGTTCAAGATGTTGATGCAATGATTCTTATAAAATAGTAATTTAACAAGAATTTAGTGAAATTACACGCAATAATTATATATAAAACAAGATTAGGCTTCTAATAAAAACAAATACAGTAATATAAGCTTTGCCTGATAAAGCACCGCGCCAACTTGTTTTATTATAATAAAAACCAAAAGCATAGAGACTTTGCTTTGTAACAATAAGGGGAGAGCACAAATAAATGAGAATGATGAAATCAATTCAAATAGTTATATATTTTTGTGGCTAAAAAGGAAATATTATTATGTGCGGGAAAAAAATTCATAAGGAACGGAGAACCATCAACAACTTTAATCAGAGCAAAAAGTTTGTTTATTTTCCGCTGGATTCCAGGCTGAGAGATGGTATAGTTGTCCTTTATTAAGCATATAAACTCGAAAATGTTATAAAGTGCTCCCAAATAAGGATAAAAAGTATATTTATAAACACACTAATGACTTTATAAAAAAGACTTCAGAAAATCATATATACCAATGTAATCAATAACTTATAAATCTGGAAATATTTATCAAAGTAAAAGCGAATAAAGGAAAAAATAACAGGTTAATAAGAGAATTTCTACATGCAATGGAAACAAGATGTCATTAAAGATAATAATAGCAGGAGATAATGACAAATCAAGTATAAGGACGGTACGTGTATCCGGCCAAGCAATTTTGAAAGGCACCAATAACAATCCGCTTCAATTGTGAAAAGAATTTCGTCGTCTGAAACGTCATCAAATGATTGGAGAAATATATCTCATTGGTAATACAACTATAGTTACTACCGAGTAAAGAAAGGTCGCGGTAGTATATATCCTCATCTGCTCGTTTTCATAATTATAAAAAAATAGTAATTATAATAATAAAGTTGACCTGCCACCTCCTCGCTGAGAAATACATAAAAGAAGGGAGTCAACAAATCATTAATTCCTTGTACGTACCCTTTTTTAGATAGTAGTACTTTAATTGCTTATATTAAAAACAATAAGCATATTTACTGGAATCAAAGGATTCGATATGTAAAGTTTAACTGGAATAAAATTTTAACTTTTTAAAAAGGTTAATTATGTAAATGTAAAAAAGGAATATGAATATAAGTACAGCAAAAATCCAAAAATACCCGAAAAACAATCCTTTGGATATATATAACAAAAAACAAAGACTTCTAATTGGTATTTTTTAATCAAGTTATCTCCTCACTACAGCCCATCGAGCGTCGAAAGCCAAGACGGGCATGTATAAGCGCTTGCAACGGTGTGTTTGAAGTAAGTCCGAATTAGTAGAGTCACTGTAGAAACGGTATGAAGCTTTTTCATAAATCTAAATGCCAAGTAGCACAACCTCGTCGACCTTTAGACAATCTCGAACTGCAGTATTAGTGGAATGCGCAAGTCTGCATTCTTACCAACTACTCTTGCTGCTACTCAACACACTTGTCCTCCCCACGTATTATCGCATCACTATTACGCTGGCTCACTAAATACACACCATTTCATTATACACTTATATATAAAAACTCTTGTAAGCAGCGAAAATGACGAGGTGACTACATTATCTACAGTGAGCCAACTGTGACATACATTCGACATGCTAATATCAAGCTGTGCAGTTAATAAGCTCATGTTTGTTTGCAACCGCTACAACTGCTCAAGTGACAATGCAGTGTTATATAGGATATAAATAATTGGGGTATAGTTAATAAATAGAATGGTAAACTTATTCAATTTTAAGCCGCTTAGTTGTGCGACCATAAATATTCTTATGCTCCAATAATGAAAAGTAACCCAACCAGCAAAATATATGTTGAGTAACGTAAAATTTAAACTTTTACCCGTAGCAGGATGTCGTATAGCCCATACGTATAATATTCTCAAGTAGATCTGTAAAGTAAAAGAAGTACGGATTATCGTCTTTAAGCTTCGTTGTTCTGCTTACCCACACTCTTATCTAAACCAATAACTGATCCATACTAGTACGAAACAACCAATGTTTCGTTATATAAATTTGGCTAAGTATAAAATTTTGATCGAATAGAAAAGACAGTATTGAAAGTTCTGCAGTGCTGGCGAAAAATGGAAGACCTCCTGAACTTTGACTTGTTGGAAAAGAGGGACTTCCGGGTCAGTGCGGGGAATGTCTATTTTTATCTAAAAGTAGATTCAATATAAAAAGGAAACAACGTAACTCGCTACATGTAAATATAAATGTAAAACTTTGATAACTAATAACATAGCAACTTGCTAACGGATTCATCGTAAGCCAAATAGTTAATGAGTGTCCTGCAGGTTACGCATATCTGCTATTTTTTTTAATGAAGCCGCTTTAACACGTGCTATGTTTAATCGAAAAAAGTCTTCCATAGTCTTTATTATAGGCAACTGACTCGGCTTTAAATTTTTTTTATGCTCAACGTAGCGGTACAAAGTCATGCAAAAGTTATAAAAATAAAATACGTTGCTTAAACGTTTTTAAAGGCTTTTTCATACTTTACAAATTTTAACAAAGAAAATTAACCAAGTGACTTTGCTAAATCTGTAAAATTTTAATTTAAAAGAAGCTTTCCTTGTGGTTATTTACTTATAATATGGTTTTAGAACTTAATATTTATAATTATAAAGAAAATGTAAAGAGCTACCTGGTGGTATATGGCCTCGTTCTCCTTGCTTTGCTTATAAGTAGAAAAATATCTGAAAAAAAAAAGTTTTTAATTAAAAGTAATTCAGTTATAAAAAAAATTAAATTAGCAAAAAAGTATCAAAAAAATACAATTCATATAAATCTTTTGATAAAAAAGTCAGTATAGCAGACAATAATACTTTTTAACGTAGTTTTTGTATTCTTCTCTTTTTCGAAGCAAAGTTTCTTCTCTTCTGCTATCTTTTGAAGGAAGATAGCCCTAAAAAATTTAGTTATGTGCATTTTTTGTTAAATAATTTTAAAGCAGCCTCAAGAATAAAACGTAAAATAATAAAATGTTTATAAATTTAAACTTATTAAAGATTTTTTTAAAAAAAATTATTTAAATTGATAATATTATGGTAAAATGTAAAATAGATAATACAGATTAAAAGTGAATCAAAACATACCAAAGTTATAACAAAGAAAAAGAACGTGTTACAGTCATCTAACGAATTATAAATATAATTTTTTTTTAAAAAGCTTAAATCTCGTAAATAATACACAAATAGAAAAAAAAGTTTACAATAAAAAAACAATTAAAATTATATTGAAGCACCTAATTAAGAAATATTTTAAATTATAATCAATTGTTATTAAAAAGCTTATCAAAAAAATCTTATAATAAAGGCTTCTACTTAATATAATTAAAAACAATAGACCAGAGATTTAGTAAAACTTTTCAAGTACCCGAAAGGAAGTACACAAAAACAGCTCGATTAAAAATTTTTATAATGAAATCTTTTTATTTTTTAATAAATCTCAAAATGTTTATTGTAAATCTTGTAAATTGCTATTCCTAAAAAATCTAAAAGCATTATTTTTAAAAGTCTACGATAAATTTATTAAAAAAATTGTTTTTAATAAAAAAATTACTACATTTAATTTTAATTTTTAAAATGTTATAAATCACTAATCAATTATTAGAGTACTGATAAAAGCATCCAGCATTTTGCTCGAAAAGAAGAGGGAATTCCAGACCAACAGAGCTCCCGTAATTTTTCTAATTTAAATTAATTTTTATAAGTAAACAAGAATAATAAAAAGTTCCGAAAATATGAAAAGTATATAATTCAAATTTTTGAAAATTTTATTAAATTACACTAAAATAATAGCATAAGCAAAGAAAAACTGATTTAAAAAGGATTATATTATCAGTTGCGAGTTGTATTATGCTATGCACCTACGAAAATAAATTTTTGCGCAAAATTAAATCTTAAAAATTTATTATAACGGAGTATTGGGGATAAACTTCTTACCAAAATCAACTTGACTTTGATTTAGAAGAGAAATGAACTTTTTCAATTTTATTTCTTGTTTGGAGTAAAATGCAGGCTGCAGAATTTAACAGCGATAAATTAAAATAGTTAAAATTTTATATTTAACTTTTATTATTTATTAATAAGACAATACACTTTAATCTTCCTTTTGCTCATTTTAAATTAATATAGCGTTGTAGAAAATCGTCTCATAACTTAGAACAAAAAAAAAGAAAGAAATTTATATTAAAAGACTGTTTTTATGTAAATAAAACTATTTACGATAAAATACTGTTTTTATAAATTAAAAAAAATTAGGTTACAAATCCTAAATTACTTTAGTTTAGAGAAGATTGCACCACAAAATTTATAGTGGACAGTTATTTATATAATAATAAAGATTTAAAATATACACTTAAAAAGCAAACTCACTACTTCACAAGGGCCAGAATTTTTACTTGACTCAAGGTGTTCATTATAAATATTTATAACATCAGAACTTTCGGAGGATATTTCTTTGCTTCCCGAAAATTCTTCATAAGCAGAAACGGGCGCCTCCGCAATTTTTAAGGTTCCTGTTTTTTCCTTATCTCTTATTTTAATTAATAAATGTAATTATAATTTATGGTGACTGTAGGAAAAAACCTAACTTTAGATCCCCACTTCTTTTTCTTTTCTCAATGTTTTGATAATTGTACCTTCGAGTAGTTACTAAGTCGTAAACAAAGACCTCCTTGAACCTTTTTTTAAAATTAGAATAAAACTAAGTATATAAATTAGATTACTTTATTTATGGATAGAAGAAACCGGCCAGGCACAACATCGCTATAAATCCAAAATCCTTGACTTTGCGACATTTTTACGTAGTAAACTATAGAATTACAATTAATAATGGGTTAATAAGGGATAATACCGCTTGTAAAGCCTCTAAAAGATTTTTAAGACAGCAGGCTTAACGATAACAATGTCCTCGCCTCCCCGCAACAAGAAGGTCGGATTATAGCCTGAGTGCATATTTACGTTAGTAAACATTACTTTCTTTTTTGGTCTCCTCTTCTACTTAAATAGGGTCTTTCTCTTTTTTTACATTAAATTTATCTCTATAATGAGTAGCATATAAATAACTATATTATCTTGAAAAATTATTTGATGTTAAGTACAACACCATAACCCAAATTAGATCAATAAAAATAGAAGGACAGATAAAATAAGCGAGCACTATCCGTTTTATTATGGTGACTGAGGCGTATATAAAGTTGTAGGTCCAAGATAAGAAGGTTCTTTACAGGAGACTCACAAAAAACTCTTCGCAAAATAAGTAAAAATTCCTTGTTTTACAATAACAAATATATAGTAGCCGTTTTTTTCATAATATACAATCATCTCTTGTAAATTTTAATTCTTCTTTTTATATATTTTGAATCTTGTTACAAACTTAAAATCTATGATAATTTAAGTACTTGGAAGAAATTATTAAAATTTCTCGTATTAGCTTTTTTTTCCCAGCTTGATCTCTGTGTATAACTATTTTCTCTTTTTGAAATATAACGATTAGTATAGAGAAGTAGTATAAAAATATATTACAGTGGATTCTTCCGTTTGAAGTTTTTATATAAGTAGGAAACAATACTCGCTTGTATAGACTGTCCGATAAATCGCTATGGCTTTCCTTTTTTAAAAGGATTAAAAAGATTTTACAACAGTTGTTAGCCCATTCGCACTTGTAACAAAAATGTAATGAAGCTAGTGTAGAAAACTCTGCAATCCAAATGGGGAACGGATCACCGAATGTTGCCTTTTATTAATTGTAGTGAAGTTGGGAGTATACATTCTTTGTTTGTTTATAATATAGTGTAACGTTTAAAATAGATAATAAACTAATTACCACTCAAATTAACTAAGCCTAGCTGTTGAATACATTTTGCAAGTATAACTGGAGTAGGTGTAAATTTGTATCTTTTTACCGCTAAGACATAGCCATTTCATTTACTACAAAAAACTTTAGCTATTCAATATTTTATTTTTGTTTTAAATTGCTAAGATGCTACTGTTAAGGTCTACCTTTAAAGGCGCTGACTCATAGATATAATTGGGTTGTTTGAAGGGTTTGCTGAAAAAATTGTTTTTGTTAAGTGTTAATTTTAACTGTAGGGCCTACGCCAACGTTAAGGAAGAAGGAAAGAAGCAGAGACAGGTTTATTAACTTGCTTTACGCTTACACCGTATAACAAAAGTGGGGTGAAGATGCATTTATACCAGTATACACACACTAATCTTATAAAGCTTAAAGTGCATGATCTGGTTTTTATAATAGCCGCCAGAAGCGCGTAAATTCCTTAAGGCGCTCAAGCATCTTGTAACTATACACTAGAAACAAACTTAAATTTTTTTAGGTTCAATAAATGGATTTTAAAAAGCATAATTTAAGTATGGGTGTTTCTGTCGTTGTGTAAAGATAAAGATATCTCCAAAACTAAGACCCATTCAGCTTTCCTCACTTAGTTAAACTTTTGGTTTTGAAGTAATTTTTTATTCTTTTCATTAAAAAAAAATCGAGGTAAAATATTTTACTTCGTTTAGTAAAGGTGACGGTCATATTGTCCTTAAGCATATATAGATAGTGTTAGGGTTAAGGGGTAGGGTTAGAATAAGGTATTGTGATCTATGTTGTTCTGTTTCTTCATTAGTTTTATTCCTAGTTGAACTACGTATTTACAATTTTTCTTTTAATAAAATATTAATGTTATTTAAATGATTTTTCTGTTCTTCTTTTTCGCAGTTTTTTGGGTAAACCACATCGCCTACTAAACAGCCGGTAGTAAAGATATGTTAGGAGCAATAACCTAATTAAAGTGCTCTTCTCCAACCCGAGAGACCGGATAAGCGTGTATCCTTAGTATTTGTACGTGAGTTATATGTCTTATATATCTTATCTATCTTATCGTTCCATTTCAAATTAATTTCAAAAATTTTCTTTTTCTTGTACTAACTTACTTTTTAGTAAATTTTAACTCTTTTAACTCAGCTATAATTTTATATTTATAACCGATTTCAATCTAGGGCGCATTTGCCCAATAAACTAGAAAAAAAAATTTATTTAATATAGGTCAATTTTTTAGTAAATTTAATATCTACTCCCATTTGCTAGCAACCTACGCAACGAATTAAGAATAAATAATAGAACGCTTTATAATGGAGATATGTTGCATATCCAGCGCACATACCTTACAAAGCATTGACATAAATCAAAAGAAGAGAAAAAAAGAAAAGGTCAAATAAGGGATGCAAACACTCCCATTGCGGAGGACTTATTTTGTTGCTTTAAGTCAACAAGCTTTAAATACCTCAAGCTTTTGCCGTGCATAGTCTGCCTTTGTAAAGAAGCGCTAATATTTGTTTTTGAAGCTTGTTGTTTTTAGAATGATTTTTGGTATTAAAAAAGATGTGTTATTCAGTTAGGTTACCAGGTAAGGCTCTTATTTCCTAGACCTATAGATCATTCCGAGAGTTTTCACTATAATTGAAAGGGCTAATAGTACCTGTAATCAATTGTGATTGGTGCATTCTCCTATAACAGTAAAGACTTCTGGCATAGGGACAAATATTTTCATCACCTTGTTTTTTAGCTAGGCACAACTCTAATTTCTGTTTAAGGTACGAAGATAACCTAGTTTTTAAAAGTATACCTTAAATTTGTTTAAGGGTGAGTTTAGTATTTTATGCTAAGGCTAGCAAATTATGACTTTGTGGTGGAAATGGCTCTTTTCGCTGTTATTTATTCAGCTACGATCTACTCTTGTTCATTAGATTTTCAGCGCTGGAGTTGCCTGGTCTTTCAGTGTCCCTCCATAAGACTAGTGGTTTTGTACTAGAATTAAATATAGAAAATCTAATATTAAGGTTGATAAGCGTCTTGATAGTTTTGCCTTTTTAATGCTGAGCTCAAACGCTTCTTAGCGCTCTTCGGTAGGTCGTGCTTATTTAAACACTAGATGCGAAGCGACTATGACACTCGTAAGGAAAAAGTCTAAAACAGAAACCGCTCTGTTATTTTTATATAGGGTTATAGTCATACATATAACAGAAATTGTTTTTAAATAATCTTTTGCCTTGTGTGTCTGCCTATTCTTTCGCACAATTTTCAAAAAATAACAAAAAATATGCGATTATTGGTTCTTAAAAAAGCTCCTAGGTTATTCAAAATAAGGGTCGACTAACGCACAAAAATGATTAATAAAAACTTGAGGCGTAATAAAATTTAAGAAATTAACTAGAGGGCATAAGCTAAAAGAAGACAGTGCCTAGTGTAAATTTTTGTGCAGATGCTCGGAAGGTCGAGTGCAAACTGCCTAGTCTTAGTTTAGGACGATACTTTTAAAAGAAGAACGTAACCATCAAAACCGAAAAAGGGAGCCCCGCCGATAGAGACAACACTTTCTGTCACACACTCACCCTTATAACGGTGTAATCTTACCCGACGTGGGACTTCCTCTTTGAAGTTGCGATTAAATTTAACGTTTACGACCTCTCTTAACCGCTGAGCTTCGACGACAACTCTCAATTCCCGTTAGGATGGCTTTAGGTATATTATCTATTAGCGCACATCCGTTAAACATCTAAAAGTAGTACTATTACCTTGAAAAAGAAAGCTCAGTTCCTGCCATTAGCAGAATGCAGTGGGAAAACCACCAAAAAGACCATCATTTGGGAAAATCTCGAAAATGAAACCATAAACGCGTGTTAACTCAGTCTTACACTTATAAAAAGGGTATATTGGATTTATTTTACCCTAATGTGCATTTCTTAGTGTAAACTTTTGATATTTTATGCTTCATAAGGTAGCAAATTAAACATGTGCCAGATAATAACCGACTTAACTTAATAGCAATTACTACGCGTAGCATATACTGGTAACTACCTCCTGGTTAAAAAAAAAGATATTCTGCAGGTTCAAAGTTTCAGAATTTAAATAGACTTTTTGTTTACTTACTCCTATTCACCGTTGCCCCTCCCTTCTCGACCCTGCTAAAATTGGTCACAAGCAAGGGTGTTGTTTTATTTGATAGCAAAACCTTTTTTAGTTTGAAGCTAAAACAGTTGTATTAGGAATCGGAAAAATTACCACCACATTTAAAATAGATATTCTTGTTTTCGAGGCGACTATTCCGTCGAAAAGACGAATTATATTAACTACATTTAAAAAACCTAATGGTCTATAATCGTTCTATGATACGCCAGAAAAGTATATATAATGTATTTTATATGCTATGAATCTAGCATGCACCCCTATCATTATCATTGGATATTATTATGTTAAATATGACCAATGCATTATAATTTTATAATTTTTATCGCTTAACCAGACATTTTAGGCTTCCAACCTTAAGTGAGGGAGCTGATACTGTTACCTGCTTTTAATAAAGTGACCATAGCGTGTTTTCTCTTTAAGTTACTTATACCTCTACATCCAATTGCTAAGTTCTTCTTCTATTTTACGGTCTTTTCTTAAGTTCTTTTTCCGCCTGTGCACAACTATAATATAGTTGTGCATTAGCTCCACTCTTGCTCAAAGGCTTAAGCTCTGTTACTATTTTTGCTCAGTTAATAAGTTTACTTTTTTGTTTTTTTCTCCTTGCTATATATTTTGAGACTTATAAGTTCACCTTTGGGTCTCATTATCGTCAGAGAATCTTATGATCTCTAGAATCGTAAATTATATGTATAGAAGGCATAGGCATAACAAATATAAAATTTTTAACTCTCTCCAAATATTAAATTTTTTGCGTTATTGGTTTCTTTATGCACTTAAGGTTATTCTTTTTATTTAAAATATTAAAAAGACCACAGAACGGTTTCTTTTTCTTTACCTTTCGCCAAACAAAGTGTTATATAGGCCTACGTACCAATAATTTTATGATTCATTACTAATTCGTTCAACAGATTATAAGCAACAATACCTTAAAAGCGGTAAAAAGTTAAAAAAAAGGTGGAACCCTTAACGAACGCAGAAAGGGGAGGGAAGCGATAATTTTGTAAATCCTTATAAAAAGGGTAGTTACACCTTCATGGAAGATATAAAAATGTGGGAAGCAAGTGTGTAGATGTGATATTTTAACAAAAAGCCACATGATATTTAGCACGTGGTATAATAGAGTTAACCCAACATTAAAAAAGAATCTTTTATACTAAAAAAACTAAAAAGCGATATCGAAACGTTTACATTTGCACATATTTTGTCTTATACTTACAATTAACTTCAATAGAAAAATTTTAGGTGACGAAAAAGCAGAATGCGACAAATATGACTTTAAGATTTCAATGACCTTTACACCGTTTTAAACTCGAAAAAAAAAATTATTTTCAGCCTCATTTTATATGCCAACCAATAAAATTTTTCATAATTACACATAAGATCACATCCTAACTGAACATTATTTAAATCTGTTCGGTAGGGTGCTAGAGCTGAATTATTATATGGAATGTAAACTGAAACATCGTACGACCAATAGTATTGCTATTGCTCGGAAGTTATGAGCGTTACAGCTATTTCACATAAAAAAGACAGTTCGTAGTGCATGTTTATTTTCCAATGGCCCAAGTGAAGTTTCTCAAGTCCAATTCAAAGCCGAGGAGCGCAGGTTCTACAAGGAAAAAAATAGGAAAAGTTAAGCCAGGAGGTGCCTTATTTTTTTCTTTTATTTACCTTTGTAACTGTAATACTCTATGAAGCTCGGACTATTAAGCCAAAAAATAGTAAGAAACTACAGCATTATGAATTAAAGAAAAAATTTTTAAAAGGTTAGTATAATTGGGGTCGTTATATGTACTGTAAGTAGTGAACGAAAAGTTTTTTTTATTTATTACTAACTTATTTCTCAGCACCTATTTATATTTTACTTTATTGACATTTGAAATCGTTTCTTCTTATATCTGTAAAAACATATTTTTTAATTCTATTTACAGCCAGTTTTATAATACATTAAAGTTTGTTGTTAAATATTTTTAACTGTAGAGTTATTATAAATAAGCTATTTTTTTTTACTTTTTAAGAATACGGTATACCCGTGTATTTAAATTTAGCTTATTACCTGCAACACCTAAGTTTTTTTTTATTAATATGACTGGTTGATTTCCTATAGTTCCTCTAGTATTATTGAATTATTATTCCTTAAAAGTTTGTTTATTGTATAATTCTTATATATTAATTGTTTTTGTGTTATAAAGTAACACTATAATTTTTAATTTTTTTTAAATTCAAAATTACAAAAAAAAAAAAATTTGTAATATTAAGAACTGGAAAGCTAGCTTAAAAAAATTAAATGAAGGCCACTAATTTTAATTTTTCCTAGTAAGTTTATTATTTCTAATTTTTTTTGTCGTTTATTATTTTAGATAATGTAAAAGCGATTGAGAGAGAAACGGTCCAAAAACTTGGAGATTCTGCTTCAACCTTAACTGTAGCACTTATCTCAGTTTTTTAACTTTATATTCATATATACATATTATAAAGATGTTGAAGAATAATGAGGAGTCCTTAAAAGATTTTAAAAAGAAAAATATCGGTTGTAAGCAAAAAAGGAAATAATAAATTTATCTTTATTAAATTTAAAATAAGTAAAAAGTTATATTAATCTAACAAATATAAATAATTTGGTTTATATTTCTTATTTGGTTTACTTTATTATGTTCGTTGATATTTACGTTTGCTACGCTTCTTACTATGTCTTTTTAAGTTTTGTAGGCGTATAAAATTTTATAAAAATGTCAAGTCGCACGAAAATAGTTTATTTACTTAGATAAAAAGTTGTCTCCTTTATTGAACAGTAAGAATACTCAAGGCATAATCTACTATTAATACTAAAAAGAAAGAACTTTTTGTCTAGCGTTTTTTAGCATTCAATTTCGGAGGGTAAAGCAAACTGAAATGGTTAGGCTCGCATCGTTGTGCATGATCCCAATAGAAATTAAAAAGTTATTTCTAAAAGTTCCCTTTGAAGTATAAACTTTATAAAGTTTTACATAAAAGAAGTGGGAGGTTTTATTTTACGTCCTTACCTAAACAAAGAAACGTACAATAAAAAGAATTAAGTTGGAGTTTAATTTTTTGTTTCAAAATGCGCTGTTTCCATAGTTGTATGAATTTAAGATTTGTTTAACTCAGTTTTTAGTTCTTAAAATTAACGTTGTGTATAAACCAACACTGTGGATTCTTTTGGGTGAATAAGAAAAATCTATTACCATAAAACCCTTTTAAGCTCATTTAATATCATTATTTAAGGCTTGCATACGGGATTACGCCTGACTTTTAAACACTAGTAAATACATTAACTGTTTGATGTTGTATTGTAAAGATAGGCTTACCTAAAAAGATTGAAAGCTACTTATAATACTTGTTGGTATTTTAACTGCTCCATGCAGAGGGCGTATGTTTAACAAAACAGCTCCTTCTTTTTCCTATAAAACTGTTCTAGCCAGCAACAAGCAAAAATTGCAATTGCTTAGCGAGGTAACGCTGAGTTCTCCTTTATTGGTAATTTGCATAATTAATTTATAGCTCGAAGAATTTGTTCTCTTGCTTGCATTTGGAGCGGGCTTCGTTGTCTTAAGCTGTTAAAAAAAAATAGACAGTACTGATAAAGTGCTTTCTACCAGCTACCCCTGTTAAAAAGAGCGCATTTCAATACTTTACAGGACTTATAATATTTTGGGGTCAACGGCGTTGGCATTACTAGAGGGAGAAGGTCAAAAGATTGTTTATTAGAAACGTGAGTGTTAAAACTTAATCGTGCTACCTACTGGCTACCAAGCAAATGTTTTTTAAACTCAAACTGTCTCATGATCTTGCCTTACACCCTAAATACTTAGGTAGAAACTTGCGTAAAACAATTGAAAAAAAGCTATTTCAGGTGTATTACTATCATACTTTTGCTTTACTAAGAAAGTTACTAAAGTTTAAAATTGCCCCTCCTAGGAAGTTGAAGGAAAAGTAAACGGCCGTTATGGTCACATTATCGCCATTATATCAATTGACAAAATAAGTAAAGGTCAGATTGATGATAGGAATGGAAGTGCTTACTTTAATGTGAAGTACGGAGCCTCAAATTTTTAAAATTACTTTTATTAATATACAGTTATCAAAGTTACACAGCAGTCGTTTTTAGAACTTTTCGAAATGAGGTTGTTGATGCAGTTATAAAGGAGGTTTCTTCCATGGGCTTGCTTGTTGAAGTCGGCCCCACTCAGTGCTTTATTTCTAAAAGGACTATTCCAGGTATTGATGTTAATTTACAGTTTTTTGTTAAAATTTCTCTATGGTCTCAACTTATTGATTAGTAATTTTTGTTAGTTATATTTTGTTATAATCTATAAAATTTAACTTTTTTTTTGGTGGATCTTTCTATACTATACTTGATCTTTCCACTCTTCTTTAAAGATATGCAATACCTTTCGGATGTAAGTTTGCCTTGTTATTGTACCCAAGATCAAAGTGAAAAATTAGTTGCTGGGGATGAAGTCAGAGTAAAAATTACAGGTTTTATTTTAAAGTTAATGTTCGTTTTTTTGGAGGTCTTTAAATTTTTTTTTTTTCTAATATTGAAGGCGTAAGGATGGATCCAACCAACTCAAGGGCAACCGGAAGACTTTACAAGGAGGGAAGATAACGATGAAATTTTTCCTTCTGAATTAGTTTGTTCTTGATCTTTACTTTGTACCTCCTAACTTCATATTGCGAGGATGCTGCCAAGTATTTCATTTAGGAAAACTTCGTTATGCCTAAATAATAATAAAAATTTAAAAATAGCCTACTGACATTGGCTTAGTTTATTTTTAAAAAATATTACTTCATGCCTCTGCTTGCTGTAATAGCTTATTAAACAAACTTCGCAAGTTGGCACAAAAATAAAAATTAAATTAAATTTTTATTGCATCCCTCTAGTTCTCTACTTGTAAAGCTCTCTTCCTCTTTTCAGTTATAAATTTTAAAATTAAGCATTCACCCATTAAAGCGAAATTTATTTTTTTAAATTACTTTATAATAGTTCAAAAATAATTTTTTTTTATTAGTAAATTTATTTTGAGCGATATGTTTTAACTAAAAAAAAAATGGATCGAACTCCTTATAAATTTTATAAGAGAAAGTAATGTTCACATACATAAAGTTACATAGTTATATGAACGGTATAATTAGAGTAACTCATTTGAATACTATGTCTTGGTTTTTGAGAATTAGCTAAATTTTACATCACCGTTGAGCAGTCACTATTTTAAAGTCGATATTTTTCTTAAGTAACTTATACCAAGGTCATGCTCCGTGCTGAAGTTCAAATTTTGGGCCTCAGTTATAGTTTTAGCTCACTCAAGAAAATAAACTTTTACTAATAATAAGTGCAACAGGATTCTTAGAAAACTAACGAGGCAAATGCCTGATTGAAGGGAAAATTACTTAAATGACTTTATTAAAGTTTTAATAATTATTTAACATTTTAATGGTAACGTCGACAAAAAAGACTATATATGTAGCTTTAAAGTTATATTTTTTAACATAGTTGCTGTTTTAGTGGATAGAGTAGGAACTTATGCACCTTACCTCCTTGGAATTACTGAAGAAAAGTACACAACTTAATAAAAACCTTAGAATTCGGTGGAAGGCCCGAATTCACAATCTAACTGCTCACATGCTCACGAAAATAAAATGAAACATCTAAAGTACGCAACAGAACTTCAGAGATTCAGCGGAAGATGAATTATATACCATTAAAATAGCTGCACTAACAAGCAAAGTAAAAACTACAGCAAGCTGTACACAAATACTAGCTATTTACTAATGCTATATCTTTTAAATTAAATCTGTTTAGAAGAAAAATTAAACTTTTATTTATTATTATAAATATGTTAATAAAGTTCCTATGTTATACAAAAACACGTAATATTAATAATTAACACAGCCAGATTTTATTAAAGGCCGGAGAGTCTTAATGTCGACCAAAATTTTGCTGGAAGATTTTTCTCTATTATCTTTTGAGGAGACCTTTCGCATTTTTTTATTTTTAATATTCCATGCCAACAAAAATTGCGGATGCTTCCACAACTTTTTTACTCATTAAAAACAAGCTGGAATCTTCCTGTAAAATTTTGTTATAAATAATTGCCGGCCTTATCTATATAAAGTTCTAAAAATTTAAAATGGATCAACTCTTAAACTTCCCGTACACATTTAATACTTTTTGTGCATATTATGTGAGAAAGATTTGATCGTAATCTTAAATAAATAAATCTTGTCTTTTGGTTGAATAGTCCAACTTATTATACAATCTTTAGAAAGACAATCATTTGATTAAGCAATCATCCCTATACAGGGTTTACTATATTAAATCAAAACGTATAACACGATGCATATTGTCTTTAAAGATGGGTATAGGTGAAAACTAAAAGGCGATACATCCTATCAGTATCAAAAATAGTATCAACGCGAATATTAAAAACAACGTCAGAGCCTTCTCTCATAAAATTTTATACCCGGAAAACAAGTATATAGCAACTTTATTTCTGCTATTGAACAAGAGAAGTGAGGAGTCCATTCAGTTGTGAGGAGGATTATAAAGAAATTCAAACTAACGTTGTGAGTAGGCCAACGATGAATCCCCCGACAAACTATTATTTTTTATCTAGTAGTACAATTACGTAAGAAAAACGCAACACTAAATAAAGATTATATTACTTCGCAACCCGATGCAGATTTTCAGTAAAGGCGGAATAGTACAACACGTAGGCGTCGCCAGTCTAAATAACAAGTAAAAGCAAATCAAAGAAGAAACAAACGAGAGTCGGACCTGAATCTCCGCATCTGTCACCGTCCGAACTTTAGTGTCGTCATAGTACCGCCAACTACCGTCGACGGTGCTTTTACAGAAGGAGGTATCTACTTACCGTCACTTGTGGTGATTGAGTTATAGAAGTGGATTAACGCGAAAAAGTCTTACAGTGACCGTTCACCAAAGTCCCTCTATGCATCTTATAAAAAAATAAGATTTAAATATTCAGCTACAGTAAATTTTGCCTACAAGGCTGGACGAGTACGCTAGTGCCTTTCATGAAATTTAACTTTTAAAAGGATTTAAGGCAAGAGTACCGAGACGCCAGACAGCGAGTACTTTATCGAGTGCATCGAGTCGCCGGAAAAAAGCGAAAGATCTAAATTTCTAAGTTTAAGCATTAACATTATCGCACGGTAGCAGAGCTGACGGGGTTGGCGTGTGGACTTACTCTAAAGGAAAAAGTACGTTGGCCTCATTTTTTCCAGAGACATTTCCGTTACAATCAACTTTGAAGCGCTTAAGGTGGACTATAAGCACAGGAGGGAGCCGCCATAGAACAAGTTGTTTCCAGGCATCCCGGTGAGCCTCGCATTTTGGACAGTACCTTGCAAGGCGCTACTAAGTATAAAGCTTTTTAAGAAAAGCTAACGAGCAGCACCACTTGTTAGATCCGGAAACGATTTCTCTCTGGGTGAACTCCTTCAAGCAATCGTCAAGGGTCGTCCTTCGAGTGAAAGAGACGGGAAGCTGAGAAAATAAATTTATGAGATATCCTAATTGAAGGGGATAAAGCTTTTAAGCAAACACGACTCACCGATAAAAACATGAACGGAGTGAAACTCGAGGAGCAATGCCGGCAGGCTTGGCACTGAAGAGTTGATCGGAACTGTCCTGTATGGAATGCGTTATTCAAGTAATACAAGCGCAACTAGAAGGCCACCTTGAAAGAAATCCACCACTATGGAATTATTTCTTGCTTTGTGCTTGGACCAGCTCAGCTCGGCGAGTTGCGCATCCTCGGCTGCTAACGAAAAAATTAAAAAAAGTATAAAGCAAAATATAAACAACAGTAAAACAGCCTTCTTTTCGTATAAATAGAAGCGCTTTATAAAAATCTTTCATTACAAGGGCCTTTAAGAAAAAAAACCGACTGAGTAACCTTGACTGACATCGGAGGAGTCTCGATCACAAGAGATCGGATGGTTCAAGTCCTCGTGCAGCCCATCCAATAAAAAAGAGAGAAACTCCTGAGCATCGTGTTGTTCACATCCAGAAAATCTCGGCGCGAATTTAATGAGGCAGTTCTTTTAGTCATAAAAAAATTCAAATGTTAAGTGAAGAAAAAGAAAGTCTCTACATAGCCGAACTCTGAAGGCGGCGGGGACTATGTACCCCCCTTTGCCGCACCACAAAGTTTCCAGGAGCTTTCCGAACTCAATTGCCAGCTTCAAAGAAGTGAACATTAGTTTAAAAAAAATCAGCGAAGAGAAAGTAAAGAAGTAAAAGAGAAACAACCTGGCCGCCCGTGCCGAGAGGATTGCTCCTGTTAAGGCGAGGCACAATCGCGTTGTTCAAAAAATAAACCGGAAACGAGGGGAGATTGCACAGACACTGCAGGTAACCGAGAATAACGCAAAGATAGTACGAAGGGAAGGCTTTTACTTGCAGCACACAATTCATATAGCAGGTGTTGCCCATATTCTTTAAGCCGGTGCAGGTAGTACTAGTCAAGTAGTGGTCTCAATAAAAAAATATAAGCTATCACACTATACAAAGAGGGGCTTAATAACGACTATATTGAGCTTTTATAAGGAAGCCGAAGTACCGGGTAACACTGGAGACGCCGGCAATGGCGAAGACGGGGAAACTATCTTATAAGAACGATCAACAAGAGGAGCCGCGCCAGGAGGAGGGCTTTCGGTGCAAGCGGAACGGGCTCCACCTTGTGGGGTATTCTCTCCTTTCCTTGCAGAAAAAGATTGGCAGTCTTTGAAAGGCTCAAGCATCTATCCAAAGTTGGCTTATTATCAATCAACGCCAACCAAAAAAGCAAAAGCACCGGATAGACAGCGGGAGGAGAAATTTCCAAGATCTTAAGATTCTCTTTTATTAACAAAAAAATGCACATCTTCAATAAAAAAGGGAGATGCAAAGGAACCTCTCTGGAAAATCGGATAAGAAATGGAACGGGCGGTGTCCAGACCTGTCCAGAGGAGAAAGTGAGGCACTCAGGAGAGGGTAACCCCTCGGCGCTTACCTTCTTCTGTGGCCTGCGAGATAAATAGAGCCTCGTCTGGACCAAACTCTTATCAAGAAAGGTCAAGAGCCCTCGAAAAAAAGGAAAACGAGAAAAACTTACGCTCACTAGCTATATAGTTGGTGCAGAAATACGGATACTGAATAAGCAAAGCCTTTATCCCACCATCAACCTCTCAAAGGTAATTTCAATCAAAAACCAACTTCATAAAATAGTCGGTAGCCTGCAAGTACAACGAACGGCAAAGAACTGATGGCCTCCTCGGAAAAATCAAATTTAGTTAGGCAGTCCGCAAAGTGCTGCACAAGCAGTCGGGAGGCCGGGATCTAAAAAAAAAAAAAAACTTTGAAAAGCCAGTAGAAAATCCGCTAAGATGAGAAGTAATTACGTAGCTCTCACTAGCACTGAAGTCTCTGTTGAGTATAACAACGTGAGAAAAACTTCGCCGCCTCCTAAATGTGTTTCTGTCTTCTTCGTTTAAATATGAGTAAACAGTTTTGAGGCCGCTATTACAAAGAATTCATAGTAAAAAAAAAAAGAAAAACGTCAAATTCAGTACATTGCTGTACCAAAATTATATAATAAAAAATTTATTATAAAATAAAAATTTAAGCAAAAAAAACATTTCTCTACTAAAAACTTCTTCTGGAATGTTAATTGAAGAGCTTGCTTTTACATGAGATCGCATATATTGAAATTCCGGACGAACGTCTAACAACAGAACCGAAGAATTCTGAGAAAGCAGCTCTATCCTAGCAGTAAATAATAAAACTATTTATTTTCTACTGCATAAATGTAAAAAGTTAAAAAATAGTTCAAAAGAAATTTTTAAGGGGTAAACGTCACAAATGTTGAATATATTACAGTTGCTTCGGCTGCATCAAAGCAAATGGCAGACCTGAATAGTTACTCTGGTCCTTCCTTGGAAAAGGATCTTGAAAAAAATTATACTTTATAAGAATTAAAGAATTTTAATTAACCCGTCTGCTGTAAACTAATACTAACTCGCTAAATTAAAGCAGGGGATTCAGTAGAGCCCACGAAAGGTAGTTTTGGTAATAAGAAGCGCTTGGCGTAGTCACACGCAAAATATTAGGCAACGTACGCAGTAAGGTGTCCAAATCTTCTGCGTGAAGTGCTTCTTTTTCAAATTCTTCGCTATTAAAACGAAGTAATATTATAATTTCTAAAACATAAATCTAAATACAAAAATCTTTTTCATTAAACTACGCACTCAAAACGAAAAATGGAGTTATTCTTAAAAAAAATCTTATTAAGTTTGTATAAAAGCTTACCCTTTTGGATCTGGTGGAGTAAAAGATCCAGAAATCTAGCAAATAAATAATTTAATAAGTGCTTAAAAATATCAATTACAAAAAAATTGTAGAGTTTAAATAAATTGTAAAGAGTATAGTAAACTCTAACTTTACCAACGCGTAAAACTAAAATATTTAACTTGAAGTATTTAAAATTTTCTAAGTGAACAAAAACCTCCAACGGGGACTTTTTTATTTTAGCATGATCTTTTTGAACAGTCAGGTCTTCTATACTCTCTTTTGCAAGATCGCTATAACGTTTGGATAGAATAAGTTTCAGCTTCTCAGCGTATTGTATAGCAACTTTAATTTTCTAATATAAATTAAAGGCTCAATAAAACCTAAAACGGGGTAAACAAAGAAAAAAATATATTTGGGTGTAAGTAAAAATTAAGAATAGCAATAACGGGATATTATGCAATAAGTTAACTTTTTTTAGTCGAAAATCAGATGTTTGAAGTAAGCCAAGACTGTCAGCGCAATTTAAAAATTTCATAAATAAAACGTAGCATTTCTCTTGATCGCCTAATAATCCATTTTTTTGGGCCTTTAGAAACAAACGTTCTCTTATTAATATGTATCATGGGAGACAAAAAAAAAAACAGGGCAGTCGCCCTTATAAGCCTTACATACTCCTGTAAAGAAAGCATCAAGAAAGGTGAGATAATTTTTGGGGATAGAAGACCGTTCACAATAAGTATATTCGTTTAATTTAAAAAGAGAGCTGGCCATATACAAGGGCTTGATATGACCCATCAGCTAAAAGTTTCCTGGAAGTGGGCACAATAAAGCTACAAAATATTAAGCGGCTTAACTAAGACCCAGGCAACTTCCGAATTTCCCTTATTAAAAACAACGTGATTGGCTAGTAAACTAACGAACTGCGATATACGCGGGGCTGGTTCTTAGAAGCTGGAAGATTTAAGTTGCATTATCTCCAGTACTTGCTTCGCAAAAGACTACGTTTATTACTCCGTTAACGTGCTACAGTCGATAACACACAAATCTTCACTTTGCAATTATTGCACTGGAGTAAAAATTAAAGGCTCCTTAAGCCTTTTCACTATGAGCCGTGACAAAAAAGTTGTTTTATGTGTATGCCAATTTAACGTAAAGAATGTGGTTGAAGCATTTTAAAGACTGTAATTAAGAAGAGTAATTGTTGTTATAACACAAGTGTAATCGTATTATCGAACATAATGATTAGAGGAACTATCAGTGAGAATAAATAATAAAAGAGGTTGTGGGGCCTAATGCTAAAAACGACCTTACTGTACCACTCAAAGTAGGTAAAACATAGAACAGTTGTTAATTTAGGCGCACTATATTATTAAATATTTTTATTAACATTATCCAATTTAAGTAGTCATATTTGAAGAAGTTATCTCAACATTTTTACTTAGCTTGCTCCAAAATTTCAAGTGCTAGTGTGTTAAGAAAAAGTTTTATACCCATAAAAACTAAGAAGTAAAAACAATATTGATATATTTGTTTAAACAAGTTAAAAGCAGTTAATAAATTTCTATAGGGGGCAAGCTTTACAACATAAATTTTATATATCATATACTTAAAATTAATGGGATTAACATAATAATTTCATTAACTACGCTTCTTTACTTTTATCACAATTTATTAGTCTTACTACTTAAATCACTTATGTAAAAGTTGTCCGAAACATTTTAAAAATGTTTCAGCCGTTTGTATTTCACAGTTTCTTATTACTATTCTAGCGATCCTTAGAAGTCACAAAAGTGGTGCAATTACCTCGGTCCTCGGCAATTCGTGTAAAAAGATCGTTTTTTGAGAGTTGCAGTTTGTTAATATTAAAAGGGGAATAAGGTCAGGATGAGGATGCATAATTCGTTATATGCTTTAGAGGCTTTGTACAATAGCAGTTAGAAAAATCAGATAAATTGTTTCTGCATATTTTTCCAATTTTTTTTATCAAATAAATATGTGTGTTTACCAGGTTAATTTATCATAGACTATTCACAAGTTCTTCCTTGATTTGAATCAACGTTATGTAGCAATAAAAAATTTTGTAATACGTGCCTAAGGTTTAAAGCTGGTACTTAAAATTGCCAAGTTTGGAAGGTTGTTGGCTCGTATTAAACAATAAAAATGGAGACTTAATAAAACTTTAGAGATTGTACAGATCTTGATGTGTTTCTTCTAAGTTTGCTACAAAAAAAAATCTGTCGACAGGCTAACGATTTCGTGGTAGATACTAACTAGAGATTCTACCTTCGATCTTTTTTTGAGGCTTCAATGCCTTACTTTGTTTTTAAGTTTTTTAAGTTAATAAAAGTAGCGAGTGTATTTCACCTATCCTACGATTTTCGATCGATAGAGGTACTTCATTAATGCCAAACTGAATTTGAGGACACTCAAATTCTTAACAAATTTATGGTATCTGTCACTTTTCTTAAACAAGACAGCTAAGTATTGGGCCATAAATAGCCTTTCATTGTCTGCTTGCAAAATGAAAGAGGCAACTCCATTCTAGCAGTAATTATTAAAGGCACTGCAATAATTAACTTTGTAGCATGAAAACTAGAGGTAAACGTTTAAGCATGGGAGCTGAAAAGTCTGCTGGGCAAACTTTTAAGTACAGGAAGTGAAAAGCAAAATAATTTTTAGGTCGTAAAAGTCCTTTTTGTCAATACATTTTCGTTGTTTTCTTTAAGCTATATTGCAAGCAATTTTTCCTTTATTAATAATAGCCGGCAAGTTTAACTTTTTCAATTTAAAACCGGGAACTTTCGTTAAAGCCCAGGTAATATAAACTAGAGGGCTTCAAAGATTAGCGCTTAACCTAACGGGCGATATAAGTTGAGTTAGTAATCTCTTTTCGGTGTTAATTTTTTTATATATGCATTAATAGGTATTTTTTTCTTAAGTTTTAAGTATTTTTACTTTTAACTTGTAAGTTTGTTACAGGTAATTTTAAATTAGTAGGACTTAGTTACATTGTTATTATTATGAAAAATGTATCTTCAAGGGTAAGTGCGTCTAAATAGTTCGAAAAGAGAACTTTTTATCATGCTAATAAAAGTTGATGGTATGTTGCACTTTTAACTTAGCAGCACATTTGATTGCTAGCAGTGCAAGGTCGCAGATTAATTATATCCTAGGGGACATATACGTTCTAAGGAGAACGTTCGCTGAAATAATATCGTGGGGAGGTTGTGCGGAACGCTTCATCTATTGAGGCTTGAAGCACATTACACGTCTGATAGAAGCAAGCGCACTAAGTTCTAGAGCGGAAACAATTAAAGTTACTCGGTGTTAGCTTGTATGTTAACTATATTAAATAGTTAAAAAGATAGCACACTTGTAGTGCTAAAAATGGTCAGTGGCTCTTATTTATTTCCGCTTGCTTTTTTAAACGTCTTTATTTTACTATTTAAATAATTGTTTTTTACGCTATGTTCACTTATATGTGTTTAGTCTGAAGATAAAATTAAAGCTTTTTCACTTGGTGGAGTAGTTACCTCCAACAAAAGAACGTCTGATAAAAGAAAGGAATGAAAAAGGATTAAAGTTAAAGGTAAGTTAAAGTATTAAGTGTTCGTATCTATCTTTAAACTTGCTATAGGTGGTCTTAAAGAAGGCGTAAACTTTAAATTAGTTTATTTTATAAGAAAATTTTCAACTTTTTAAGTTTACGTTTTTAAGAGGGATGCAGAAGCCACTGCTGCGGTTTTTAAGGAGTACATTGAATCTTTTGAAGAACCCAAGCCAGCTGCTAAACAGACTTCGACTTTTGTAAGGGGTGATACCATTATTGTCGGCTCGACAGGTTTCTATTTATTTTTTTTTACTTGTTTTTTGAAATTTACTATATAAAATTATTAGAACTTAAGACACTTAAAAAAGAGGATGCTACCAAGCTTTACAGCTTAGGAAGAGGGTTGAACAAAGGAACTCCTGGGTCTGACCCTCTTGCAGAAAGCAACACAGAAGTTCACAAGAAGAACAAACGTTCTAAAATTAACAAAAAATCAGGTCAGTTAAATTTTTATTTAAATTTCTTAACTTCTGACTCCCTGCGGTAGAACTTGAACTCTTTAAGGAACAGTTGGAAGCTGAGGAGGCGCTTAAAAAAGCTGAAATAGAAGAACGCGAGAGAAGAGAGAAGAGGAGAGAAGAGGAGCAGCACAGGAGACTTCTTCAGGCTCCACTCCCCTCTGGAATCCCCAATCTTCCCTCTTACGGACCGCCTTTGTACTCCCATCCGGCCATGCCCTTCGCTCAACCTCTAGCCGTCCCCGGAATTCCTTTTGCTATTCCTCCAATTGTCCCTCCAGTGGCTGCAAATAAACCCGAATTGGATTCTGCTGGTCTAATCTTTGCTTTACTCTTCACTTTTCTTTGCAGTTAAGCCATCTTGGCAGGCTCTTTTCCTTCAAATAACAACGATACTACTAACCTCTACGTAGGGAATCTCAGCCCGCAGGTACTCTATAAATTGATCTTTATACATAATTAGTTTTCATTTATTTTAAGGTCACGGAAGAAATTCTTTGCATGGAGTTTGGAGTTTTTGGTCCTCTTGCCTCCGTAAAGATTATGTGGCCAAGATCTGCAGAGGAGGTTAGTTTTAAACGTTTTGTACATTTTTAATTCATTTATTGTGATTCTGTAAGCATTCGCGCGGCCGTAATTGCGGTTTTGTGGCGTTTATGAACAGGGAAGATGCCGCGAAATCTAAAGACGCTCTTGACGGTCTTTTTTTTCTTTTTTTATAATTTACGATAAACAATTTGTTCCGTTCAGGAAAAGAACTTTTGGGCTACGAGCTGCGCGTGGGATGGGGAAAGTGCGTTACACTTCCGTCTCAGCCCTTTTATGTCCATAAAGTAACGGATTTCCTTCGCTAATTATTTTTTTCTCTCATATTTGCCTGTAGACTATCAGAGACGAAAATACTTTAACGGGTCTCCCTTTCAACGCTCGGCCTCTCAAAGACAAACGCGGTTCTCCTTCTTCATTTTTGCATCTGCTTGTTCTTTATTAATTATTTCTTAGAAAGGGACGATTTGTTTTCCAAAGTTGACTTGACTGCGTTAGAGCAGGCGCTTTATAACTCGGAGATTAGCGTTCCGATCCCCAAAGACGTCACTATCCGGCGTTTAATACATCGTCTCGGTCTTAAACTTATTTCGTTTTGATTTATTCAGCCTTCTCTTTGCTTGCAGGCACTATTGAAGCATTGGTTAACGAAGGTGCTTTGTTTGAGCAGGTCTTGATGATCAAAGTCGCCAGAGATCCCAAATTCAAGTTTCTTTTTAACTATGCCAGCCCTGAAGTACATTTACAATTTTAAAAAGGATAATCATGTTTTATTATTGTAAGTTGACCGTCTGCTGAAGACTATAAATTTGTCTGGTTAGCTTAGTGAAGAGCCTCCTACTTAAAAAGATTTTAAATTGTACTAATTTTTTTGCAAGCATCGGTACTACAGATGGAAGCTGTACAGCGTATTACAGGGAGACGAGGTCAATAGCTGGCGAACGACCAGATTTCGCATGTACGAAAAAGGCTCTTTTTGGGTTCCGCCAACGCTAGTATCAGATACACTTAACCTTAATTGATCTGTTCCGCTTGACGATTGATTCTATAGGAAGAGGCACGCTTAACCGAGCACGTTAAAAAGGGACAACTAACGGCCAAACAGAGAGACGAGTTGGAGGATCTTCTACGGAATCTGACATTGGCCCGGACATCTATTAAGGAAGCCATGGGCTTTTGTTTAGAAAATTGTGAAGCTGCCCCTGAGGTTCACTGTGACTGGGGCCGCTCTCCAGCCTGTGGCTCTTCTCACTCCTGTATTGTAGATCGTTGAGTGTATTACCGAGTCGCTTTGTATCCTGGAAACGCCCATCCAGTTAAAGGTCACGCGATGGTGCTACGGGAGGGCAAAGTTTGTTATAAATGAATTTCTGCAGGTTGCACGTTTTTTTGTTGTTTCCGACATCTTGAACAATACTGCTATGCAAGGTGCCTCATACTATCGAACACAGTTAGTTATATCTACTTTCTTTTACTCGTCATCACAATTTTTTTTTTAGATTTGAGCAAACACTACCACAAATTGTGGGGAATTTGAACTCAGCCTACAGGTAACATGTCCTCTTATCGGTTTTTTAACAGTGACTTTGAGGTGTTTAGAGCTATTCCGGGTCGCATGCGTGCTGAACTGTTTAAGGTGTCTCACTTTTTTTTTGCGCTTGCGTCTCCTTTTCATTTTTTCTTGAAGAAAAATATTTTGAACTGTATTGCTGCTTGGGAGGAGTGGGCGCTTTATCCCTTTGACTTTTTGAATACGTTGAAAACGGCCTTCACGGCGGCACCAATCAAGAATGCCTCGGTTCCGGCCACTGCTTCCCCAGCGGGCGAGCCCGGTTGGTCTTCTTGTGCCATTTTCTTCCTGTTGCCAGTCGAGCTAAAAGGAGCGCATCCGCCCGTAGAGCCAATCATTCAAGCTCATTCTGCTCCCGTGTCCAGTGTTGATCACGTGGCGCCTGCGACCGCCCTCCCCGGCTTTAAAGTTGTCGGCTCTGCGGAGGAAGAAGACATTGACGGCGAGGACATCGTTGGAAGCGGTTACCGTTCTTCTGTAGTTGTACTGATTTCAGCACTCATAATAATCTCTAATCTTCACAGAAGATATCGACGGCGAAGATATCGAAGGCGAGGATTTACTATCTAAACCCAAACCTGAAGCTCTTGTAAGTATTAAGATTAGTATTTACTGCGCTTTTGATCCTTTTTATTTTTTTTTAGAAACCAGGTGCGCTCTCTAAATGGTGCTCAATTTCCGACGATGAGGAAGCTGTTAACTCCAAGTGATATTTTTTACATGAAACTAACGCTTCTGGCTTTTAGCCTCAGCAAGAAGTCTGTTTTTATAGAAATAAACTTCTTTTGTATTAGCTTATTAGTTCCATTTGATTGAGCTGTTCTTTTTTGCAATTAAGTGGTAACAGAAAAGCCCAAGGATGCCCTACCCAGATCACAGCTCGTGGTCTTGTATCATTGTCGCCTTACGTAATTACATTTTTCTTTGGTCATTGTGCTGATATGGACTGATCGGACATTATTAAAACGTTATTGGATTTGATAAAAATTCAGATTGTTTTTTCTTTTAATACTAATATTCAATATTGTATAGCCATCCGGAGCAGAAGAGTTAATTATATAATGGAAAGAATTAAATTTCGTTTAATATTGCTTATGGGTTATTGAAAAAGTGTCCCATGGTTCTTGGAGTTCTCGCGTTAGAAGTTTTCCTTTTTTTCCTTACTCTAGTACGTGAAGTGTGCTGAAGATTCCCGTTAAAATTAGAAAGTACTTGTAAAAATCCTTCACTACTTAAATTATCTTCCTAGCTGTTCAATGCTATAAATACGCACCTAATTTTGGTTTCGGTTTCAACTAGTATTTTTACAGTAAAAAATTTTCCATTGGACTGCCTAACTGAGGAAATTGTATTCGCGCATTATTGTTTTAGTCAAGCTTTAATAAATACAACCGAAATAATTCTTTAGAAACAAAAATAATAATAACTGCGAAAGCGTAGCATTAAAATAGTCAGTCGATGATGGCAGCCGCTGGGGCATTATAGGGGGGGCACTTTAAATAGATAGGTTTACTAGGCCTAAACATTCTTGCTTTGCTTGACGAATCTCCTAAGTAGATATAGCGCACGCCAAAGAAGTATTGCGGCTATATTAACTTTAAGAAAAGAATTCAGGAAGAAACACAGGTAACCTTTTAGCATAAAAGACAAGCTATTATACCTCAAAATATTTATCGGTTGATATAAATATGCACAATTTATTTTCTTACAAAAATAAAGCCACATCAAGCCAATATCGCTTATGAAAGAACATTTCTAAGTTTATGGAAGTAAGTGGTTAACTTGAATTTTTAAAACAATCGAGTTGTTTAAATTGTAATTCTACTTAAAAACTAAAAAAGTAATTTTTTCAAACGGGTATAATATAAAGTTTCTCCTCTTTTAACACGGAGCCCCTAAAAGTAATTAATGGAGATCTTATCAAGTATAAATGATTTAAAGCGCAGTATAAAATAATTCTGAAAATAACAGAGTGATTCTTGCCTCCTTATAAAAATGAACAGGTATTAAAACTAGAAATCGTAACTAGAAAGAGTAAAGGGTAAAAAAAAATTTATTAAGGCCGAAAAAAGACCCTGTCTCTGTTGTGCCTACTTTTATAAAAATATTTTAGTAAGTTTCGGCGAAAGATCCACCCGAACGCAAATAATGAGACGCCAGCCAACAAAACTATGGCAACGGGCCTCCTTGAATAGGTTGGTTGGTTCGGCGAAAGAGCAGGATCGTTGAAAGTTTCAGTAACACTATCATTACTCGACAGTTCAGAAGAATTGGCAGGCGAGTCGAGGGAATTAGACTTTTCTAATATTTTATTAGCCATCTCGGATGAATCAGAGGTAGCAGCTTGCGAGTTGGTATTAGAGTTAACTGAGTTTTCTTTAGATTCCGGCGGGGCGACTTTTTTTTTTAATTTTTCTATAGTTTCCTTATCTAAGCAAAAGGAGTAAAAGAAGTACCTATAAACTCGTAATTCCTTATTATTTTACGTACCAGGTGGATCTTGTGCCGGGGAGGCGGGAGTTTCTTCAGAAATCCTTGAGTTCAACTCTTTATTAGCAATGGTTTTCCTTGATGAAGAGTCAAAAACATCTGTTTCCAAACCTATAATAACAAATTTTTTCTTAAAAAAAATACTTATATGTTAGCCAAAAATTTTCCCATACAGACATTGCTAATTAAAAAACAGTAAAGGTTCATAATAAATAGAACTTAATAAAACGTTTAAAGTAACTAACTAAAATTAATACTTATATGATACAATATTTAGCACAGAAAAGGTGCTCATTGTTATAGTAAATAATAAGAGTAATAATTAAACGACAAAAATTACACTATACTCATTATATTTTGTAAATATAAAAATAAAAAATGTAATAGATCGCTCTAATTATTTAGCAATAACATAAAAAACCCAACCATGTTCACAAAAAATTATTAACGGTTATACCTCCTATACAAGCCCCAGAGAAAAAAATTAAAAGTAGCAACAAAATTAGTTTAGTCATTCCTCAGCTTTGTAATAAAGCGTCCTACAAACGTTGTCTTTAAAGCTCTGTCATGCTTAGCACACCTCAATGACTGACTTATCCATTGGCCTATTCATTCTCCTTGACTGCACATTGATTGGTGTTAAACTTAATAAGATACCGTTATTAGTGGATAGGTAAGTTCGTTTATAGGTGTATTGCGTCATATTTGTAACCCTGATTCGAACTCGATAGTAGCCTGGGCACCTCTACCTTTTACTACGGGCATGCTATATATACTAATTATTTACATAGAAATTTTAAAATCTGACCAACAGATGCAGAACACATGTTTATACTAGAGTCATAATATGGAACTTTTTGTAACCGGGAGATACACCTCCCAAGTTTATAGAAAAACTTATTGCCTGGTCAAAGGATCAAAGAACAACTTTAAAGTTCACAAACCAAACTAAATAAAGCTTATAAGGAAATAAACCCCTACGGAAAACTTTTAGCTACTGATGTTACTTTTAGGGGAGGAAAAACTATTATAATTCCCAATACTTTCGGTGCGCTAGTACTTCCCTGCGAAAAACCCATGCGAAATAATTAAAAACGACGTAAATATGGGCTGCAATACTATAGGTAATGAGAACATTGATAACAGTATTAAGAGTATCCGAAAATATAGCACTAATAATAAGAGAAATAAAATTGCTGAAGACGGTAATTTTAGTAATTATGGTAGTATTAATAGTAAAATTATTAATAAAACCAATAAAATTAACAATATAAACCAATTTTAAATAATATTAAAAAAATACTAACAATGGTAGTGCTCTCAGTGTTAATAATAGCTATGATTCTAAAACAATGAGCAACATTAATAATATTATTAAAGAAGGGAACCCCCTCTTTTATAATTTGAAATAAAGAAAAATGAAATAATACTGTTAAAATGAGTAAAAGAGAAAACACCAAAATTTCAAGTGCTAAAAATGTCAACATGGCTGGTATACTAATCTCATCTGCAAATGACTTTTGCAGGTTCACTGTTGTTTTAAACCGAGATGGATATGATTACTATTTGAGGATAAGGATCTTGAAGGTGTGATCCGGAATGTTTTACTAAAATGAGCACGGATGTGATTAAGATTTGGTTGGAGTCTAAGTGTTTTCTTCTCAAGGGTAAATGCTTGCCAAGTTACAAAAACACAAATCCTTTACATTTAGTTCTCTGTAATTTGCAGCCTAAAACCGAGACTGCCATCTTTAACCGAAAAATATGGATATTTCAGTTCCAGTGGAACCCTTAAATAATAGTGGTCGAATTGGCCGACGTTTCCACTGTCAACTATATGGGCACAGCTCCAACACCATAATTAAAATGTGTAAAATGCGAACAAACACGACTTTAAACTTGGCGGAAAAGGCAAATCTGTTAAACCGCTCTGCGCAAATTGACTAGGGGAATACACCGTCAACTACAAGTACTGTATATCACTATCCTAAAAATTCACCACTTCATAAAGCAAAGAAAAGGGAAGAACACAGATCCAACCAAATATCTCATATTAAAGTGACTGGTTCTGGAAGACATAAAGGGGAACCAGGCCTCTTAGAAAAATTAAAAAAAAAAACTCAAACTCAGTTAATGAAATAAAGAGTAGCTTTGTTTCCTCATTAACGATAGAGTTAAGTGCTCAATTTACAAATCCTTCTAGGGTCTTTTAAAAAATTTTTTTTGAACTATAACCCGCGACTACCTAGGGTAAAATGGAATGCCGTTGGGCTCCGCACCAGGAGGCACGAACTCCAAGCACTGACCTTGAGGTAAGATTTTGACACAATTTCATTTTCAGAAATGCATTTTAATCAGGGTGACAAATATACGCTGTCACACTATACATCGTTTAAAAAAGATAAACTTAATTCTGGACATGGCGGAGTAGCTTTGTTTACAAAAGAACACATCCTGTACTTTCCTCTCGACTGTTTAAACTTACTATCTTGAGGCTGTAGGAGTTAAATAGAAACTTAATAACCATGTGGTTCATGTTATCTCAGCTTGTACACCTCCCTACAAACGATTAGCACGGAGGGTCTGGCTCAACCTCGGTAAAGTTGGGGGAGACCTCTTAAACTTTGAAATAGTACTTGGCACGAAACCCAAAGGGGGTTGGTCTAGGAAAACTTGCAAATGAAAGAGGGATCCTTGTGGTAAGTCCCAGTGGCCCAATAGCATAATTTACCCAACCGATGTGCTCGATATTGTCTTGATGGAGAACAATTGTGCTACAATTTCTGTAACAACGTTGATTTAACTCTATTCTGACTGCACCCTTTTTAATCACGCCTGAGGATACTTGCTATAATTTACTGAAAATGGAGAAGTAAACAACGAATTGGTCATTTTAAAGGATATTTGGAGGACGACCTTTCTATTTTCATGATTCCGTCGAGTTAAACCTTAAAGATGCAGTAGCGCACTTAGAGTTCGTATTTCTTGAGTCACACCATCGAGAAACAGAATACAAAACCTTACTTGTTACACCTCTTATACTACCGGAAAAATTAAGACACTAATCTATTAAAAGGAGGTGTATGAAGAGAAAGAACGCATTTTAAGTCCCTGAACCACAAACACCTTTTAAAACAAGTGAATTATAGGGCTAAAGAACAAAAATAAACCCTCCTTAATCTTATACATGATTCACTACGAAGTTGACGCCGTTTATCCCCCGTTAAACAAGGCTATTCTGTTTGCAGAATTCCTGAGCGCCCACGCCGATTCCTTTGTTCAAAGTGTTAATTGCCCTAACTTTTTCTCTTGGCCCATTTTTCCCTACAATGGTGAAGAGTGAAGGCCCGATGAGTCGCTAGCGCTTACCACACTGGAAGAAATTACTGAGTAATAAGAACATTTTTACAAAAAAAGCGAGCGGTTCATATGGTATATAACTAATTTATTGCTTAAACATCACCCATTAACTGCACTCACTCACATTGTTAAATTGCGGAATATAATAAAATCCTTTAAAACGCTTCCAAAAGCGATTATCCTCAGTCAATCGGTCAAAGATTACCCCTATGAGCCTTCTATCTTGCCTCCAAAATCGCAGAAGTGCTTACTTTAAAAAGTTTGCAGAACTATATGGAGACATAAATTCTATTGTACAGTTTGGCTTTCGAAAGGGTCATACCTCCAATTAACAGATCTTGAATTTTCTGAGCACGTTACCAAGTACCAAGAATTAAATTATAAAAAAGCTGAAAACGGCAAACTATAATATTCCTTTGTACCCGTTTCAAATAATTGAGTCCCTTTTTTTAAAAATAGAAAATTTTAAGTTAAATCAGAAACCCCGACCTCCAATTCGTACTCTTTTTTCTCAGGTTTCCCACAGGTCTCCCTTTTGCCCCTCTGCTCTTTTCTATCATAACTTCTGTTGTCCCAACAGTTAACATTGTTTCCTTTGCGTAGTTAGCTGATGACACTGCAATCTATATAAGTTCTAAAGCAGTAATGTTGGCTTTATAATATATGAAATCATACTGGAACTCCTTAAAAGCCTGGTTGGCGCCTAATAATTTAAACTTAAACCGACATAATACAAGGTGTTACTAATTTCGCGAGGAAGGAAAAATTACCCGGAGAGCAACTTACTATTATTTGATAAAGATCGCCCCTTGTGCTCGAGGCTAAGATCTTGGAGTACTTTATTGATCACAGATTTGAATGGAATGCTAACTTAGACTACTTAACTAACAAATTAAAAACTACAAGTAATGTTTTATACTCCCTACTATGCAAAAAGAGCAAATTAAATCTTAGCAGCGAGCTGCTTTTATATAAAGGCATGTTAGGGCCTATACTCGCGCATATTTCTTCCGCATGGATCTACTTTTTTATGAGAGAATTAAATAGGCTACAAACCCTCCTGTAGGATAATTTATTAACCAACGTCCCGTGGTTTATAAGGAGCTTGCATCCTCACCGAGACTGTAAGATTGAATTTATCTCGGAACTGATTTAAACAATGCGGAAAAAATGCTTACGATCTTCGGTGGTATACCAAATATAGGAAACCTAAAGGCACCTATTGGCCCTACCTAATTTAGCTGACAAACAATACTTATAATATTTCCTTCTTTACTACTACCAATTATATTGATAATAATAATTTGTATTTTAATAATAATAGTAAGAGTAATTTGAAAAGAATAACAATAAAAGTAATAAGAAATGATAATTTTAATAAGTACTTTATATATAATAATAACAATGGAACTGTGTACTCTATAATAGGTGACTGTATAAGTTTCACTTCCCCTATCCTGGAGTGTGCCCTCCGTTTTTTTCTACAAGGGAACAAAGATTAAGCAATTAAAAGGACTTGTATTCTTGACCCTAGCATGCCAACCTTGTAAATGAATGAATAAATTAGTAACCCTATATCCCGGAATCTCTTTCATTGAACTGAGGGTTGCTTTCGTATATACAAACGACTTTTCTGTTCGAAATATTATCTCTTAGTTTTTTAAAATTATTTTTTAGCGACTATTTCTGTAGAGGGTAATTAGTAAGGAAATTTACTTATTTAAATTTGAATTAATCTTCTCTTTTTTGTAAATTAATGGAAATTGGACGCTGGCATGCTATAAATGCATCTTAGTTGGTCGATAAGTACGCATAACATCTTCACAATGCTTAAAGATAGCTCTTGAGAGTTGTTGCACTAATAACTGAGTTTAAATAGACTTTTCTTACGGTAACTTTTAATAGTTGAAAAATACACACGAATAATGGACAATTGGTAAGAGATCTTATTACAAACTGTTTAGAAGGGTCTCTGGCTATCGTACAATGTTATAAGTTTTGACTTTGCAAGGAAGAAACTATGTGTTTACAAGGTCTAAATGTCCAAAAGGAATGGAGGTAAGGGGAAATGAAGATGGAAAAATTACAATGTTTCCTAGTAAAACAAAGACAATAGTAGAGAATTATGAAGAGGGGAGTTAAACAATAACCGCTAAGAGGAAGGATCCTTTGAAAAGACAGCATTTAATACTTTCCCCTTAGATGTAAAGGCCTTCCCAGGGGAAACCTTCATTCAAGAAGAGTTCCTTTACATGGAACTAAACAAGCGCGTAACACACTTTTTTTGTGCTCTGGTTTTGTCGATAGCTTGTGGAGACTAAAGATGTGTTAGAGTAGAGTTGTATATCAAGAGTTGAGTAGGCACCCTGTAAGCGGAATTTGTTTTTTAGCAGCCCATGATTTTGTTGCAGCTCGGGTTAGACAGTTAGCTATTTACGAGAAAGAAACATAGAGATAAGAAGCCTTAATTTAAAGTAAGCTACCAAGTTTTCATCCTTATGTTGCAGCTAAGGAGAAGGGCTCTGCAAACTACTTATGGATGAAGGGCGTTTATAAGCAACTTCATTGATTTTATAAAAAGAAATAGATGTAAATAAGGTTAGTTTAGACCTGGCCTTATTTATCTATTTATCATTTAGCACTTAGAGACGCTTGCGGGTACTCCATATTATATGCTTTATAACCTTTGATACTCAAAGACATCGGATCACTATTAGTCTAGGATAAAAAATATGAAGTATTTAAGCGAATTTTATTGGGGATGTTACTCGTTTTATAAACGTTAATAAGGCAAAATTCAAAAATTCAAAAAAGTGCGTTATGTTTAGCTATGAAAAGAATGCTCTCATATCTTCAAAGTATTTCGAAGTATATAATTTCTTAACTACAAGTTTTTTAACTCAGTTTGAACTATTCCAATATTGTACTATAAGCAAGTTTAAAAGAAACTTTATAAAGTAACAAAGAGCCAAGCGCACGATAGAATGTAAAAAAAATTATTTAGGAATAGGTTGAGAAGCTAACATTATACACTTTAGCACTCGATTTCAATAAACTGTTATCACAAGGCAGACCAGTCTTTTTGGCGTAAGGAAGTGGACTACTTGAAAGTTTAAAATGCTAAGCAAGTTTTATGACGTCAGCCTTTTAATTACCTCGTCAACAGAGCAAAGTAAGCAAATATAAAACTTTACTTCCATTAGTGCAAGAGTTTTCTATAAAATGGATAACAAACTTTCTTTATCCTGAAACTATTCGGCCACATTGCAAAAACGGTTAAAAATTTTCAGTATAAAAATGATTTTTTTTACCAAGGCGAGCAAGATATATATATATATATATATCAGGTGCTCATTTGCCTAACTCACAGTCTACAGAGCGTGTTAACGAAGAGCCGTTTAAGCGAGCCCCAAACGTATTTTTCTCAAAAAATTTAGAGTTAAAGTTCAATTCAGTTGCTCGTATATCGTATACCCTGCACTTCTTCAATATAAAAATGTGATCAATACACTTTACTTAGTTTAAACTGCTTTTACACAATAACGTATACGCTACACCAAATCGAGAGCGGCCCTTGAACAAGCCTTACCAAAGATACTAAACCGATTTTATTTATCTTTCCAAACTTTAAAGGTTTCAATAAAAAAAACTAGGAGGACTGCGCTCGAGCCAAATAACGAAGCCTTAAAAATTTGGAACAAGCTGTGGCGGAGGTTGCATAAATGTTACCTACAAGAAATACACTAAAGGCCCGAAGTCGTAGAGATATAAAAAATAAAAAAGTACCAAGCCCAAGAAAAAAAGAGCAAAAAGAGAGATATGGCACCTTCAAGAGAAAAAATACATATTAGCGTTAAAAAGTTACTACGCCCCGTGGTGGTGTTTTTTAATAAGAATTGCAGGATTAGGCTGAAGAAAGAATATATAAAGAGAAACCTGCCAGTCCGTACAGCCTTCCTTGAAGAATTGAAATAGTTCATAACCAAGAAAAATCTGCCAAAGCTGCTCAATATAAAATATTAACGTAAAGTCACTCAAGCAATAATTTTAATTAGGTACCTGGGCAACCAATAAAAATGGCAGAAGTAGAGAAAGAGCGCCCTTCAAGTCCTTTAAGCGGACGTCTTCGACTGTAATGTCCATTGCGTCCGCCTTTCCGAGCGCGCGTAGTCGGTACAAGCCTATACGGCAGAGCATGTGTATTCCCGTCATAACAAGTGATAGTATGTACTTCATGTGGCAGAACATAAAATATATTCTACGCTGAGCAACTTAGTTTTATTGAAACCGTAAGGCTTTTGCACACAGTAGTCCCGTTATAATATTTAAAAATACAAGGACACAATTAAAACGTGGGTAACTAAGTAAGCTTGCTGGCTAGGAAAACTCGGATTGATTAATTTAGTAGTTATTACGGTATAACCTTTTTTCAAAGTAAAAAAGACAAATACGAAATTCCTTATTATAAGGACTTAGCTTTTTAAAAAATATTAGTCGAGAGAGCGGTGAATTGCCTACGACGAGCACTTTGTAAAATGAAGAATTCACAACCTTTGGTCTGATACTGGAACTGCAAGACATGCACGACGGCCACATAGCTCGAAAAAATGTGAAACAGATAAGAAAACTGCCTGTAGTAGAAGCCCTCCGGCCACGTTAAGAGAAGGCCAACGGTCGCCACCGTTCCATAGTGGTGCAGCTAAAAAATATTTAGCACACATTATAAAGTAGAGCGATGAACGAAAAGTAAATACATACAAGCCACCAGACACGTATATTAGAGCCGTTAGCAATAAGAATGTGTTCTCTTATAGTTAAAGTTAAGTAAAACCACATTTGCGCTGCCTGCAGAAGAGCCTCCGCAAAACGATGCAGTTTTATAAATATAGCTAGTACTATGCAAAAGAAAATAGACAAGAGCTACACTAAAGGAAAACTTAATGATACGCAAAAGCTTAGTACCTACAGGAAAAAAGTAATCCAATAATGTTCATTCTCAGCTTGAAATTTTCATAGTTAGACTTGTATCGAAACCGATCGGAAAGGTGAGGTAAAGTGACATTTATTTCACCAAGCACTAGTTTTAATAGAGGACTAAAAAAAAAATTGGAGTCGGTTTAGAAAATAATAAAAGGTTCAACCTCGGCGTTTGGGGTAAACAGCGTTTGATGTTCATAAAATGTTTCCACTTTTCTTTAATCAAACAAGAGAGATCTTTCTTAACTAAAGAAGGAAGGTCTAAATAAACTAAAGGTAAAGCTAATAGAAAAAATAACGAAAGTATAATTTTATGATAACCTTTATCCTCCTTAATAAGTGACTCAAAACCCTTTAAACTTATAGATGCCATCTTTAAAAGACAGTTCATTTCTTTTTCAACCTTCGAAACTTCCAACAAAAGATCTTGTCGTCTCAAACGTGCTTTCTAAAAGTTTTTAGTTGGTAAAATGATGTAAAATATAAAGTAGACTTAGAGATATATATAATAAAGATACGTCTAAGGATCTTAAATTAATTTCAACTGCACTCCAACTTTCCTTCAACTTGGAGTCGGAAAGAATTGGAGAAAGCTTGTTAAGTAAATCACTATAACTACAACAGTTAGTAGCTCTTCCTACCATACTGAGAAAAAAAGATGTAGGTTCTGCTTACATATAAAACTATAATAAAAAGCTCGCAAGCTAAACGGTGCAGCAAGAAGGTGCGACAAAGTGGCGCGAACGTACGAGGGCGTGCCACTAGTACAAAATCGCTAGCATTTTTCCACGGGGAGATATAGACTCTTGCCCTACTTTTTTGTCGAGCGGTACAAAGTTTGTAGTCTACCGCTTTGCCCGTGCTTGCGTAAGTTTGGAACTCAATATAATGATTAGGAAAAAAAGTAAAGATGAAACTTCCTTTAATTCCGATTCCGATTCTGCTTCTGACTTTACTTCCTCAACAGGTTTTATTTATAGCAGTAATAATCTTTATAAGTTAAATACCGTTATATAGACTCGGATCTTAGTAGCGGAACTTCTTGGATAAGCTGGTTTTGCAGTCTGAGAGAAAACGAGTTTTTATGCGAAAGTTTGTTATTATTAATATATTTTTCTTTGTATTATCATTAAATTATGAAAATTATGTCATACAAGTCTCTTTTATATAATATTTTTATCATAAGTTCCTAAAGAATGGATCATTGATCAGTTTAACCTGACTGGGCTTGATTCTCTTCCCAACTTTAAACATGCTTTAAATATAATTTTGGATCTAGAGGTTTTTTTATAAAAAAGTATTTGGCTCCTTGTTTTGAAATATAGATCTTTTTAGATTAATGATGAAGAAAAGATGAAGTTGGGAGAGAGTTCAGCGCTTTTGGTCTACGGGATGATTCATTCTAGATATATACTGACAAGTCGAGGCATGTCTATAATGGTATATTTTTATTATTAAATTATATACTGCCAATTTACTTCTAAACTTCAAAAAATTTGAAATAGTAGTAGTTTAATACCGGAATGTTTGCAAAAATCGTATAGCGGTATAAACCGCTTTTACTTTTCGTCAACTATCACCACATATTTTAGCTTTGCTACCTCTTTTTCACTCGCTTTTAACATCTGAAGTTGTAATTTATTTATTTTACTTCTAACACAACTTTACCTATTTAGTATAAAAAGTATCTTGACGGGGATTTTGGCATTTGTCCTCGTGTTCTTTGTAATAAGCAACACGTTCTTCCCATTGGACTTTCCGACTGTGCTTTCAAGCATAAAGTTAAGATTTTCTGCCCTAGTTGCAAGGAGGTACCACCTTCGCTGGCGGTTCCATCTCCACCAGCCTTATTTTTTTTTTGAGGTCTACCGAGTAAAATCTCCTCGGCACAGACAGTTGGATGGCGCTTACTTCGGAACTACGTTCCCACACTTGCTGACTTTTACGTATCCGCGGATAGCTGATGCCGAATTGATTAAATATGTTAGCGTTGTTATGAAAGCTTAGCTTCTATGTTTTCGTATTATTTTGAAATTTAGGTTCCCCGTATATTTGGATTTAAAATTCACCCATCTTCTGCACGTTATTTAAAACAAATACTTAATTCCGAGAACCGCTGACTAGCAGAGAACTATGTCGTCATAATTTCGGCTTGATCAACTTATAATCTATTGTCGTCTGTACCAATTTTGCAAGTTACTCGACACGTGTTTTATGTATTACCTAACAGTTCTACGCGAACTTTTAAAAACTCTTAATAAAAGCTGTACATAATTCACTTTTATTAGTTCGTAATACTGTTCTTACTTGAATCAAATCCAATCACCTTCTCGCAGTTTTTTGGGCAGATATTCTTCCGTAAGATATTGAAAGCCAAAACTGCTTAAAGCCTGAATTTCTGCTTTTTCTTTCGTTCTTAACATTAACTCTAGTTCCTTTGCAGGTCAAGTTAGGCGAGGGCTATTGGAACAATCGCAAGCCACGTTTCTTACTTTTACCCAAGAGGGATTTTTTTTAATAAACTCTTCCTTCAGCAGATCTTTGCCTTGAAAAAAATTGTAGGCGATTAGAATAAAAATATGAGTTTACATAAAGTCACCCGTCTTTATGTCCTGTTCTGTCATTGGCAGCCTGCACTCTTTAGGCACTTTGTATCTACCAACGAGCGGCAACTGTGCGGACACCTCAATATATACAAAAGCACGAGTAGGGGGGACCTGTCCAGGTCACTAGGACGGACCCCCAGCCACTTGATGTCGGAGGTGGTCAGATTGGCGCTATCGTAGGACATGTTTTTACTTCCTGCGCGAAGTTGTTGCATATGAGAAAAGTAGACGTGCGGTGGTACGGCACTGCACACGAAGCAGTTATACCTGACATATACACCGACAGAATTTTAAGGCCGTACGGATCGCTATCAAACAGTCCTACGAGCACGCGTAACTCTTTGAAGCGCAAAGTAGCACAGAAAAATACCGAGTATTGGGATCTTGAGGGCACTTTTAACCCTTTTGAGAAATAAACGGGTTGCCACGTCCGGCTGTCCCTTGGCAGTTATAATAATGCTGTTACGTCACGAAAGGGAGGATACAACAAGATTCGCTTCCCGCAGAGGTAAAGACCAAACCAAGGATACTGTAAGTAAAAGCGATCTTCGCTCAAACGGGTAAAGGATGCATCTTTTTCTATTAAAAGCACGAACTGGCCGGTCCCCTTTTAGAAGAATGAAGAGTGAAAAAAAACCGTTTTAAAAAAGAGTATAATAACCGAAATGTCGCTAATGCGATCCACGAGGCCGGGTATCGCCTTCCCACCCACGCCCATCTTAGTGCAGTCAATATAATCTCCGTCATCCCGGAAATTTATGCATCCCACTACCACCCCCTGGTATAATTGTCTTACTACTTGACATAAGAGGCTCTCTTATTCATATACAAAGAACTTTATCGGAGGCCACCACATTCAAGCTGGTTCTCGTGCATCCGATCATCGTGGCCACATCCTCCAGCACGCAGTCGGATTCCACTAATATTCGAATCATAGGAGATTTCAGGAAAAGGCATTGGTGAAAAGAACCTTGCTTGGTAAAAAGCTTTACGTCGTTATAAAAGAGATCCCGCTTGGTGACGTGGATGCCTTTACTAACGACCCCGTGAATGAGCTCCAAGATTCTGGTGGTGATGGCGGTCTTTCGCGTGGTGGCTAGCAGGTTGCGGTAATGGGCTCTGGCACTGCAGGAAAAAAACAAAAAAATAGCGAATACCGATGTTGGCTAGGGGGCGAGTGGAGAAGGCGCTTTTTAAAATTATTCTGTCCAGTTCAGGGTGGTAGGACTGATTCGACGCAGCACGTGAAGGAACATTAAAACTCAGACCCTCACCTACAAAAATAGGTAGCAGCTCATAAAATAGTTTACAACCAAATAAATTAGTGTTATGAATCGATAATAATTTCTTCGTTTACACTTCAACTGTAAGAGAGTCGAAAAAAAATATTATATAGAATCTGTTCAAGCAATATACGCAATTCAGATACTGTTTAAAAGCATAAAAACCATACCGGACATAATAGCCTGCGCGCAGCGTATCGCAATTTGTTCAATGGCTTCTTTAACTTCATCTTTATCCATTTCTTTCACCTCTCGATAATTCTCTTATAAAATTTGCAACGATATAAAATAAGTTGGCACTCCAGAAATTAGAGTTATAAAAGTGACCCTCAGCGAGGTAGGTTCGACTAGATAACTTGTCAGAAGACTTAGCAGCTTCTTCTTCACATAATTTATGAACGTGCTTTAAGGTCTCCTTTAAAACGGAAGGGGATATATCAACTTTGGCCTAACAAAAAAGAGTAAGTTGCGCACTTATAATAAAAAAGTTACTAATAAAAGTTAAGGATATAGAGCCAAACCTTTTTGGTTCCAGAACTTTTCTCCACTTTAAATTTTTTCATTACTTAGTTAAAAAAATTAACTTTAGGTTAAAGTAATTTTTAGAAACTATGCAAATATAATTTTTGTATGTTTATAATTAGTTGTGTACGTCAATACTGCCACAAGTAAAGTACTACCACACAGTATAACTACAAATACACTGCAAGAGATTTTCCAGCGCTCTCAGTCCTAACCAATCCTTTTAAAAAGCGAGAACAATTCCAATATTATACAAAAAACGCCCAACTTGTTAAAGGGAGTATTAATTAACTGTTTTCACTATACTGGGGTAAACAGGCAAGGATTTGGTCACTAACGCGGTTTGTAATATCAGAAAATAACGACAAGATATTGGGCAAGTAAGAACTATGAAAAGGCTTAATTTACTGCCTTTTCTAAAGTAAACATTTATTTTGTCTCAATTTAGTCCCCTAGTATTCTATTAGTTTGTAGAGAATTTTTATTATCTCTGGCCTTAATCTAGTTTTAAACTATTCAGTAGCTTAACTTTCTGTTACAATTATTTTACTACCTTACCCATAAACAGGAGTATAGAGAAAAGACAATCCGGTATCGACCACTGCCGAAAACCTATTATTTAGAGTTTAATCACCTTACAGCAAGTAATTGCGTTTCATAGTTAAGGAACTGCGACTTATTAATAATTATTACAAGTTATTGATTTATTTAATAGCATTTAATCTTTTAAGTCAAAAAGTCTATTCCAATTTTTTTGTATAAGATTTTTTTTGTGGCTCAAGGAGTTCAGATTATTTTGTAAATAAATGTTTACTCTCTTTAAAAAATAAAGGAGAAAGGCCTGCCACCAAAAAGTAATTTTACTAGCTACCATTAACGGTTAGCAAATAAATCCAATAAAAATTAACATAGAACTCTTTGCAAGCCAAGATTTTAAAAGGCTAAAGGAACAACAACTAGCCCTATGAAGTTCGACGACAGCGATGAAAAGAAAGTCTCTGTCTAAACTTCAACCTTCTTAGTTGGTAACCTTAAATATTAGCAAAAACTCCAATAATAAAAGGAAGAACAAAAATTAAAAAAAAAAATAAAATAAATACTTAATGTAGTAGTAATGAAACCAATACTAAATATATGAGAAATAGCACTTCTAACAGTTTTATTTTTAATACTAATAATAACCATAATAACATTAATAATTATGTGTGAATCGACTAAAAATAACTCGGAATTAAAATAACAATAGTATCTTTCTATGTTGACTTGAGAAAAGTGTTTGGCTTAAGCCAGGAAATTTTAATATATTTCTTAGTTACCTCTAAAAAAAGAAAAAGGCGATCTTCGGTGCATCTTTGTTAAGTTGGACGATAAACTTATTAGGTTAAGTAAGAACTTTAAATGGTTCCATCCTTGGATAGTCTGTAAAATGTAACGCTGTGATAAGGTCAAAACTCCTTAGTTCACGTTAAAATTAAATTTCTAAATCATACGTATAACTTAAAAAAAAGTAGACTAGTTCGTAGTTTTTGTAGCCTTAACAAAGCGGTAAAAAGATATTGCTTTCTTTTATTGTTTGCATTCAAGTCTTCTAGTTGTAAAAGCTCCAGGACCGGATATCTGCCAGAGCTTCCGCGGAAGACGTAGATGGCTTAGCGAATATGTTATACCTAGAATGACACTACCGCAGGCAGTGGCTACAAAAGCATAGATATACGTATACCCTAAGGTAGGAATAAATGTAATAAATTCAATAACGAACTACAGCATATGTAATACGGCAATCAGGCGGCCCCCTATACCACAACACGTTCCACGCAGGAAACAATGCAGGAAAAATAACTCCCCTGTTACTACTAGGTACTAGGGGGGGAGGGGGCGCTACCTTTATTTATATCTATGGCACGCTAATTAACTGGCCCACCTGGCTGACAAAAAAAGCATTAAATGCAGTAAAGGCGTCGCTCTAAAGTCAAGCCAACTGAAATATGCGAACAGCACGAGCGCTTTTATCGCTTCAATTAGGGGTTCCTTTTCCACTCTCAGGAATTTGAAAAGAAGGGAAATATAAAAAAGGATTTTCCTATTAAACTTAAAATGACCCATTCTCGCAGAGTAATGAATTGTATTAGCAGGAAACTTCTACACTTATTATTTTAGGTGAACAGACTATTATTACGTCGTAGTTTGGATAACCGAGGCACTCAATAAGTTAGTTACCAAAATTAAGAGCAATTCATTCGAAAATTTAACAATCGGAATTGAGTAACGCTTATTTTTTAAAAAAGAACAATAATATCTTGAAAAGTAGACTGAGTTGCTATACAATAATTGAGCTACGTAAAGTAATTACTCGTTTATAACTAGTTGTTATTCTCATTACGTAAACCCATCAGAAAGAGGTACAATTTTTCGGTATTTAATTTTGTTACCTACAAGAGAAATCGCAAAAAAGTGGGGATAGGAGAGGTTGTAGACTTATTTAAAAAAGAGATTTGGCACACGTAGCTAGTGATCATAAAACTCTGAACGCTATCAACTTTCGCCGTAAACTATAAAATATCGGCATGCCACTGACGTGCTTGCCCTAGAGTTTTTATAAAAACTACTTTATAAGGACTTAGCTATAAGTTTATCAGCTGTTTACTGGAGATCCAACTCGCGAAGGACTTTTAGCTTTTTGGGAAATTTATTTGACTTCGTTATGGTATTAGTCACGTGAGTCTATTAATTTAAAGAGCACCCCGTAGAAGTTATTTTTTCTGCTCTATCTTCTGCGAGGAAGGAGTTGTGGTATAAAGGGGCAACCTATTTTTCTTTTATATATATCTTCTAAGAAATATTAATATATTTACGTTTTTTATAGTCATTACTTGTGATAGTGCCTTGCTAGAAGTAATAACATTACACCCGTGCCAGTGCGTTCATGCGAGTGAATGATTCGCCAGAATAAACGTTTCACTCACAATAAAGAGGGCATCAAAATGTTTAGGGGGCCTACAAAGTTTTTAAATTACTGCACGTATTTATTTTGAACTGCCATACGTCTCTTTACGAGTTATATTAATATTTAAACTGCAGTCTTCCGTGTGTCAACTGTAAACATATGTTAATATTGAAAAGTGGTTCGAGAACACTATGCGATTATAATTGGTTGTTTTAGGCTTTTTTAGGGGTATTTAAACCTTTGAACGCTAATATGTAAATTTTTCAGCTCTTTTAAACAAGCACAGGTTTACACGAGGCTCACACGCAAGCAAACAAGCAAAAAAGCTAATAGAAATGAACACGACTCACTTTATTGATAAAAGTACTTTATGAAAAGGATCTGACATGTCAACATGTTTATGACAATTTGCGTTAATAATTATAAACTAGGCCTTTTTTAACAGGTTTGACTTGTATGTTGAGTATTGTAAAATCAGCGCACTATAAAACAACGTTTTTTTTAAAAGCTAATTGTAATCAAATAATAATGCTTCATTTAAAAAATTACGACATCGGTATTGCGCTTTATTGTTATACAATCACAAGAGCGCAAAACTACAATGTAAAATATTTACTTTGAAAAACATGGCTGATACGCTTCCGAAACTTTTTTCCTACTGTATATGATGCATTTTTAAAATAAATTTTTTTAACTCAACAAGGTAGCGTGGAATTAAACAAGTTCATATTTATTAATAGTATGAAGATTTAGAATTTAAGAGTATGAGTGACCGTAAATGATATAGCAATCTTGAAAAAACAAACATGTTAGAATTGGTTGTTCTATTAGTTAAGGCCTTACTTTTTGTCTTGATTTTTTAACTCGGACTATTTTCCCTTAACTCTCAGTTGTTCGTAATAATTTTTTTAAACCCAGTTTTACCCTTAATTTTTTTTTTTTTTTATAATGCTGATGTATATCCTTCAGTCTTGAGTTGGTTTTGTTTATTATTATTGCTACGTTACTCTGTTTTTATTAAGTTAATTTAGGTTAGTTTGGCGCTTTTTAATATTATATAACGTTATAATCTTTGCTTGGATTATAACAATATATGTGCTTTTTCGTGTTTTTAAAAGCCCGAGTTTGTTTCGATTTAAAAGCCGTAGGGCTCCATGAAGATATTAAAAGCAAGTCTAAGTTACAAACTTAAAAATAAAAGAATAATTAAATTGTAAAATAAACTATTAAGTGCTTTAATATAAAAAAATAATACTATACAAAAAGAGAGAGAATTAGCTTATAAAACTACGAACGAAACTTAGAAGACAAGAAGGTTAAAAAAGAACAAAAGCGAGATCATATATAACGAAACACAAGACGCGAATCGAGAAGCTTCCCACCGGGCGCATGCCTTTTTTATCTAAGAGTTGACCCAGGGTAATTGGAAATTAGGCATTGGAAGTAAAAACTTGTGCCCGATTATAACAGTTTTTGTTTCATTTTTAGTTTTATCCTGTTCTATGTGTTAAGATGACCAGTTTTTATTAATTAATTTAAATAAAAGTTGTATATGTAGATATATTAAAAATAACACTTCCCTTAATTTCATTATTCTAAAACCATCCTTTTAGAAGTAACGTTATATGTAATCACTGTGTAACATAGTGATAAGGGGACTTGACTGCTAAGAGAAGATGTTTCGCAATAATCAATGAAATAGCAATTAGCTCTAAGTTACATTACACCAGCTTAAAAGAGCAGCTAACTTATGCTATTAGTACTGTAAAAGAACCTTCACTTAAAGAAAACCTACAAAATGCGCGAAAGATATATTGATTTTCTAAGGAAAGTAAAAATAAATTTTTAAAAGACTTAAGAAGTTTTCTTGAAATTTATAAAATCTTAAATCTAAATTTTATAGTAAAATGGTTTTAGTTGTGCTCTTCACCCCTCTTTCAACCTGCAAGTTGTATGATGCATTGCTCAACAGTACCAGATAAAAATGCTGAAATAAGGTTAGCAGAATCAAAAAATTGCTGCCTTATTCTTTTTAGCTCCCAAATGAAATAAGTCTTTAACTAAAAGATCCTTACCTCTTTACAGGTTACAGGTTACTATGTTTAACCATTTGTTGCCTAAGTTCAAGTTGCAAAAATAGTCTAAGGAAAATGACCTAAACTACAGGCTCTGTCTCTGAAACAATCTCTGGTAAGTTGGAATACCATGTTCTAACGGTTCGGCAGCTACCATCAAAACAAAAAAGTGGTTAATTTAGTTACCAGTGAACGTAAAACAAATCTCTTTTAAGCCCCAAAGTTTTGACGTTAAAGGGTTAAATAATTTGAATCTACTGATTTGTACCCTCTTGCCAACCGCATACCCAAGCAAACCTCACTATATAACTTCGTAAGGTAGTTCTAATGTTCTTAACTTCTTTTTTTTAATTTGGTTGTAAGTTTCACTCTTGTTCAAGTCTGGAAAGTAATACAGTACCCTTAAATTTGTCTAAGAAGGTTAAGTAATGGGTTGGTAGCCTTTGAATTAGCTAATAGGTCCAGCTCCTTTGATGTGTATTTATTTAATATAAAGCATAACTTAAAAATTGGCCCCTGTTACTTCTAAAATTAAGTACTTGTAGTCTGGATAAGAAGAATTAAAGTAAAATAAATTATTTTTGCTGAAAAAATATATTAACGACACAAATAGCTTTGCAGATTTCTACTAGTAACTAGCAATTTAGTTTCGCCCTTCTTAAACAGTTATTACGGTTTTTAGAGCGTTTTTTTTAAGTTTAAATTTTTTAAAAGATAAAAACAACTTACTGCTTCCCCCCGTCTTACAACTTTAATATATATTTTTGTATGATTTTTTATAAACCGATTATAAACTCTTATCATGTTAATTATTAAGAGTGACAAAGGCAAAAGATCTTTAATAACTATTGTTATAGTACCGATCATAAGTATTGCTATGTTATATAACGAAAGGCATTGGCCACCATAAACTATTATTATTGTTTAATTTATTTTTTTTAAAAATTTCTAATTCCAGTGTTTACATAAGACATCAGCTCCTGTTTTACAGTTAATGTCTTCACCACGGATACAGTCCTTAAACTTAAACAAACAGTTTATCGCATTTGCAGGTCAGCTAACGTTTGCCTAAAAAGACTACAGTTACAAATTTTTTTTAAGAATTGATATAGAAAGACAGATGTTAACGCTTTCAAATTACGTGGAACTAAAATGCGGAACTTTGGGCCAGTACAAAATAAAAGATGGCTCTAAAATAAGGTTCTATATTTATTACTGAGTGTTTCCTATAAATTCTTAGTAAAAGCCGTGTAGGAACTTGTTAAAGGTTTCCTTTATTGACTAGGTTAGTAAAAACTTTAAGTTTTTCTGCGATCATTAATACAGTATAAGAGCAGAGAACTTAAGCCTCGTACAGTACGCCCATGCCTGCGTAGGCAGGAGTATGTAGTACCATTAAGCGGAAAGCTTTGTGTATATTTTATTTAGCAATAACTCTAACCAAAAGTATATAAATCTGCCATGTTTTAGCTATCCTTCGCTGTAAATAGTCCGTTGCTTTTTTGTGAAAAGGTAAGACTAAGTATTGAATTTATTTAGAATGGTCTAATATGGCGGAGCTGAACTAAATAATATTTGTGACAATAAAACGGCAGTTCCTGAGCCTTGAAGAAATAACGAAGTTAAGGCAAATTTAAACTTAAGCGCGAATTTTGTGTGCATTAAAAATACATAAAAGTGACACTCTTATAAATACTTTATAGTCTATATACTCTTAAGTAGAGTTAGAAAAATATTTTTATTGGTCTGCTAAAAAGAGGATATATCTTTCTAAAACACTCCTTACAATTAATCAGGTTGTCTATTAAAATGCGTTCAGGGTTTGTGGAGCTATCTCCTTTGGATTGCTCTCCTACCAAAAGTCGGCGATATTTTTACAGTAATTTTAAAGTACTACTCTCCCACTTTCAAAATTTTCGAAACGACTTTACCTTTGTAAATAAAACGAAATCCCCAAACTCTATAGAAATATTAAATAAACTTTCCAATTATTTAACTGATAAAAATCTGGATATAATTTCTCCTAGCTGCAGTGAAATTAGCTCTACAGAAGAAGAAACTTTTTATAGTAGTGACTCGGATAGAGAGTTTGAAAGTGGTGGTGTAGAAAACGAGGATTTAAACTTCAAAACTTTCTATATAAATAACAATATTAATATCATTGTTTCACCTGAGAAGCCAATACCTCCAGAGACTTATGAAATTAAAAAACTTCAGAATTTTACAGATGCCTTATCACTTTCAGTTTCCTTGTTAGAAAAAAATAAGGAACGACTTGAAAATCTAAATAACTTTGTTTATAAAAAGCATGAGCTAAAAGACTTTGTCACGCCTGAACCATCTGATAAATCTATGAAAAAACCAGATCCTGAAACTTTGAGTAACAACACCACTCGTAAAAAACTATCATTTATATTAAAAGAACTTTCTTTTAGAAAGTTAAAAAAGAAATAATAAACAGCAAACCCCGAATATCTTTAAGGCTGTAAGCATTGGTTTTACGTTGGTATGTATGTGACCTGCCACTGGCAGTGTTAAGGTTTTTAATTCTTAACACGTCGCCTACAAGACTTACACTTGTAGATCTAGCTCTATACAAAGTACTGACTGTTACTGGCTATACTAACTAATATAAAAACAATTTCGTATATACAATTGGTTATCTTATAATAGTACATATTCTTAGGCACTAAAATTTTTCAATAATTACTTTCTAAGAGCAAAAACTTAATTTGGATTTACACCCTATTAAGCGCCTTGCTTTGCAATAAGCCGAGAACCTTATGACTTGCCCAAACATAGTAATCAAACAAGTGACTATAAATTAAAGCTTTCTTTAACTGAATTTATGAGTATATTACCGATCGATGTAGCCCGAGAATGCTCGTTAAAGTATTAAACAGTAATATCAAAACAGCATATAAGTAAGACGTAGTTTCTACTCCTTTATGTGGCGTTTCTTCGCAGAACTTATTAATTTACACTCGTAACAAGACATCCGTGCTTAAGTTATGGGTAGCGGACAAGAGTCCGTTATGTTCAAAAGACGCGCCTCAAATATTGTTTTTTTACGAAACAAGACTCTACCTGCATTCAAGCTTATCTTGCCTCTTAATCCCTATCAAAGCAAATATAATTCACTTAAGAAGTACAAAAAACCTAAAACAAAAAAATACTTAAAATGTTTAACCAAATAATGAACTTTTTAAAGGCTTTCCTATTGTGTTTGAGCTATTCAGGTAACTAAAGGAAGTTGTAAAATATCTATAATTAAAGTTGGTAATGAAAATTTTTCCTTCTTTTAAAAAAAATTATATGTTTTGCAACAGAAATTTATAGTGAGATATATTGAACTATTAGTCTGGCGAAGGGACTGCAGTACTCTTAGTAGTTTACAAGGTAATTACAACTTAAGTAAGATTCCATATATTTAAGATAGATATATGTTTTCTGCGATGTCTATTTTACAAGCTTAAGATTTCCAAGGACTATATATTATAAATAAACAAAAAGTATAATATAGGTTTAACGTAAATACAAAAACGTTGTAATGATTAATTTGATAATATTCGAGTTGCCTGAGGAGCACAACCCACAAACCTTAAACAAACAAAAACGCAAAGAAGAAGAACTATGTTTCTTTTATATTAATGATATTTCCTGGTGCTCGATCGGGTCATAAAGGAAAACATCGAATTTACGAGCACTCAGCAGGGTGATATTGTACACGTTAGCTTTAAGCTTGTGCTAAAGCAATCTCGTATATATAAATGTATTAAATTATAATTCTACCCCTGACCCGTCTTATATATTTAGAGTCCATTGCGCGATCGGCGATATCATGCGCTAGCCCAAATTTCGTAGTTGACCTCTCCTGTTAGTGGCCGCTTGATGTGTTGACTGAGTCGACCGTAGGTGGCGATAGCATTGCGTCGAAAAAAACGTTACCCAGAGGTTCAATCTGGAGGTCTGTGAACAAACCAAGGCGCGCCTGTCATAAGGGGTAGCAGCTTATTTTGTCTCACTTGAAGCCAAGAGACTATTGCCGAAAGTCGCCCGGGCAGTAGACGCGTATGTCGGGATCGGTCGGATGCACAACAAATATAATTCGTTTGTAGTGTAGCGAGAATTTGCTTCAAGCACAAAGTAAAGGGTAAAGAACTGAACCACCGTCTTGACCTTTGCCGCGCTATAGTTTACGTGCGGTCGCCACGAGAGATTGCTATCAATAATGACACCAGGTACTTCGCCGGAGGGCGCCAAGGAATTGCATAATTTTCAATTTCAGCGGCGGTAGTGGTGTAGAGCGCTTCTTTGTGATAAAAAGGGTTTTGCTTTTTTCCGCATTAATAGTAAATTTCCAACGGTTTCATCAACTGGCAAGAATCACTAGGTAATGCGGATGCTGGCGCAGTAGGGCAGGTGACTTTGACGGGGAGTAAATTGCCGTACCATCCGCGTTTGGGGGTTCGTCAGGTTGTGGCACGTAGCGTAGATAAAGCGCAAAGTGCTCCTTATGGGACTCCAGCTGTTAGTGGTCTTAGGGGTAAGCGCGCATCGCCCACTCGTTATATCAAAGACGCGGTCCTCAAGGTAAGAGTTGATCACGTTAAAAAGAATAGTAGGAAGGGCTAGGGGGAAAAAAAGGTGTGTGCATGTCAGGCCTTTTATAACACCAATTAATGATGCGCCCTCAAGCGTTAAACCCTCACTTTACATACCTACAATGAGAGGAACTCCACCCTTCCGATCTTTAAAATTAATCATCAAAAGTTTAATTAGTACTAGGGCAGATGACCACGGGAGCCTACGACGTACTGCTACTACATTCATATATTGTTCTATCTTTTTTTTATGCACCAGATCACGAATGAAATAGTACATCTGAAAAAGTAAGCGTAATGTAGCCCAGGAAATCGAATTTCTTTCCCTATAGCCCCCTCGTTTTGCCCTCGTGGAGCTCCTCGCATTGTTAATACCATTATTAACCAATAATACATGGTACCTCAAAACACTGTAGTGCTGATAAAGAAGAGTTTTTGTCTATTTTTTACGAAATTAGGGTGGCATTGACGCATATGCTCCCTATATACCACAATTAAATGGTGTAGCTTAAAAGAACAACTAAGTCTCTTCAGGATTTTCGATTCTAGACCCCCAAAATAGCTGTGAGGCGAACCACTACTATTATCTGCTTATTTATTAGGCGATATGGCAACGTCTTCTACACCTTAACATTTGCCCATGAAATATCAAATTTTTGTTTAAAAAACTTTTAATAATAATATATATTTGAAAAGAAGAACGGTCCAAAAAAGGCGACGTTGTTGGTTTTAACACATATATACATTGTTTTAAGGCTGATAATGCACATTCATATAAAGTCCTCTTTGGCAGGACGTTTTATCTGATCTATGTAGATCATTAGTCAATAATTGGGGAAAGCTATTTGCCAAAAAACATACCTATCTATCGTTCAACAATTGTAAAAAAAGATGCGTCGTTCGAAGCAAAAACTCTGATGGTAATAATAACTACTCAATAAAAACAGACCAACGGTATCTGCTTCGCAGGGACAGGGAATAAGAGATCAACAACTGAAAAGCAAAAGCTTCTTCCATTATTATAAAGGAAGCTTTACACGTGCACATAAAACTAGTTCCTTATAAACATTAGATTAAAAGGAAGTAAATAGAATGGATAATATGCTTTATTATTAATTAAAAAAACAAATATATAACTGCGTGATTCATTTTAACACTTCAAATTAAAAGATATTATATCGCAGGACGAACAAACACCTAAGATAACTTACCGAACTTCGACAACTTTGAAGGGGGGAAAAGTGTACGGCAAAAGTTTAATACGACATAATAAGTAAACGGATAAATAACTTCATTACAAAAAGAAAAGTTATTTGACAGTATTGATACAATGCTATTATTAGAAGCCATAACTAAAAATACTCGCGACTTAAATTTGCTTAGGACTTTTCAAGAGGCTCTGTACAATGAATATGAAAAAGAATACCCTCAAGCTAATAAACCAAATTCGGTTTTCGTATTAAAACTTAATCTTGGGCTCCCGCCATATTTCATAAGGAAGAAAAAAAATGTTGTGAATGGGTTTTAGAAGTTAACAGTAATTCTGACGGTAGTATTAAAATATATTAAGCACTTATTTCACCCAGAATTTTGCTCGGGTTTATTGAGAAGATTATTATCAGGTAAAACTGTGAGATGCAACTTGATGTAGACGGTGTTATATTTCCCACCACGCCAAAAAGTGGACTCCACATTAAATCCTAACGAATGGTTAGTACATTCCTTCTACACAGAAGGTGATTTACATAGAAAAATTGCGGAGGGCTAATTTGAGGGCAGTTTCATGCGTCAAAAATTACTTAAGTTTGTTATCTAAACACAGAAGGAATTAAACAATGCACTGATTTAGTTTAGTGTCATAATGACTACTGAATGGTGAGCTTATCGCGCTTATATTTTATGTAAAAGAGTGTTTAGTTGCCTTTATGAATAAAGCTTATAAGGACGAAGACAAAAATTCTTAATAAGACCTTCCCGGGTTTTTATATTTAAATTAGTACTAAGCAAGTACAGAATATCCATTATAGAAAAATATATAGATGACTTCATTAGTAACAAAAATAAACAAACAAACTTAAAAAAATTTATATCGCACAGACATAATAACCTTAGGATAATTCAATAAAAAACAGTCTTTAGTACTATAGCAGAATTTATGTTATTATTGTATACAAATATGGTAATTATCGATTCTAAACGAACATACAATGTTTTGTAAACCTTTTATAAAGGTTTACAAAAGTTGCTTGATTGCCTATGATAAGTGCATCTCCCGTTCTTGTTGTTCTAGCCTTCTCCTTGTTCTCCTAGATGGTGATTAAAAAAAATGAACTGATGGTTAGTATACCTCAAAGAGAACTTATTGACACCCTATATCCAGGTCAGACTCTTTGTTGTTTGCAGTGGGGACGTCATTAAGGAAAGCAAAGAGACCTTCGAGAGCAAATTGTATTTTACTAAATAAGTTGTAAGATATTTAGATGGCACCAAGAACCGTTAAGATCATTCTAGAGGTCATTCTAAAAAACATGGCAACTTTATAGAAGGCAATAGTTGCAGAGACTAAGCAAATAATGGACCGGTTTACGTGCAGTCAGTCTTACAAAAACATACGGTCCTCTCCACCTATGCCGTACTTATAACTGTTGGTATAACAATAAAGAGACAATATGGTTGAGAGCTCTTTTTAAGGAAGTTATGGGCGTAGACGATGCTGAACGAAATTCAGTAGATAATCCACCTGTCATAAAAACGTGCAGAATCCAAAGCATTATGAGAAACTAAAGCAAATTGTCATCTATAATTTTCATGATTGAACCGACTAGCCTATAACTCTCCTGTACGTTAACCAAAGTTCATTCCATCAGTAAGCCCCTTGAATGCAATTCTAAATTGTTTTATAAAAGTTGCAGGGTGGCGGCACCCACTTTCTAGCGTAGTGGGTAATCTAACGGATTGAGAATCCAATTGCTACGGTTCAAACTTGCCTAAAAAAAAATTGAATACTAAATTGAAATATATGTTTAGATATATGAATATTGAATTGAGTATAACGAGATTAAGTTAATAAGTAAATTATATAATAAAGGAAGGGGGTGTGTTAGGACTTGATGCTTTCTTAAGGAGGGCATCTACTTTTTGGCGTCCTGGGAAATCTTACACAAAACGAGTAGAGCCGTACATTTAATCAAGTACTATTATACACTTAAGGGAAGCGTAACAATTAACTTATTTCATTTCCATTTTGTCCCTTCTCGTAGCCTGTTGTAGTTCGGATTAGGTTTGTGTATATTTATACTCATACACCTAAAAATCTCGAGATTTAAAATTTAGGAGTTCTTGGAAATATATGCTATTGAGAGCTTAAAGTATTCGAAGTTTGTTAACTGTTATAGTAGTATAATAGCATTGTACTAATTAATATACAAGAACTTAAGGGACTACTGAACGCGCTCGAGAAGCCTTTCGCATCGTGCAGTCTAGTTTGAAGCCGACTTTTCAACTGTTGTTAAACATAAAATCCCGAAACCTAGGTTAAGAAGTATGTTAAGTCCCTAAAATTGTGAGCTATAGCATGCCAGCGTAACAAAATAAATAATTATACAAGAACTCGACTAACAAAAATTTAAATAAAGTGTTAAAAGGACCGTAGGCTAAGACCCTAGTTTTACAGCGCCAGAAATAATGAAATGTACAATTAAACGTTTGTTTCCACAATACTATCCTTGGGGCTGGAGTCATTAATAGTATTACTTTAATTATAAAATGAGTTTAAACTAATGTCACTTATAACTGGGCGCTCCAGAGGGATCATTAAATAAGTAGATTCTGTTTTACGTAGAAGTTTGTTAAACGGAAACCTGACTTGATAGTTAAAACCAGTCATTTGTCATATTAGAGTAATTTATTTTTTTTTGGATATTAAAAACCTAATATCTGTATATTAGAAATTTTTTACTCTTTAGCGTATATAAAGATTTATAAAAATGTAAACTTGTAACATGAAAATAACAATGCACGTAAAAAATTATATTGTAATGATGCTTTCTTTTAATGAATAAAATTTGAATAATAATAGCCATTAAATTTATTGTAATATATAAATTACATTATCCTTAAGACTCAGTAAGCGTTCAATGTATGACTAGTTAGCTCTGAAATGGCATTAATAAAGTCAGTAAATCTGCTAAAGGTAATTTTAATAATATTTAAAAGAAGGTATAATGATTATTTTTATGGATGCATTTTGAAGAACTTTTATATATATTGAGCGCTTCGTTTAACCCATAGACAGAGTGCACGATAATATTGGTAACGTTAATCCTTGGTCTTTTTTGCAATCTATTTATAACTTATGTACAGGCACTTTTTTTAACACTAAAACTTTCACCTTCCAGTTACCTCTCATTTAGAACATAGGATAACATAATGTTTATACCCGCTTCTTAATGTCCCTTCAGTTAATTATAGTCACAATGAATGTAAAATCTTTTTTAGCTTAAAAAAAATTAACTTACTTTTGTATAAATTTTAAGTCATCTAATTTAAAAATTAAAATTAATTTTCCTTTTTTACCTAGACCTCAATTTACTTATTTGTTAATGTTAAACCCGCGTCTCCTCAAAAGCTTATACACTATATAGCTATTATATATTACAGAGTTGAAATTACGATTAAAAATTGGTGGCGCTTTACTTCATATTAGATTTGCGGAAATATATAATTATATAACATTTCTTAATAATACTAATATAAAATTTCTATTCATAACTATATCACATTTTAATTATAATTATGTAAAACAACTGTATGTAGACTTTATTTGCAAAGGAACCTTTGAATACTGCAAGGTAGCACTCTAGTTAATCAATTTTTTTACTAATTAGATCTTTATAACTTGCAGACAACACAATGAACTTAAAGACTAATCCTACAGAAATTTTTAAAAACCTTGAACTTGGTATAGATAATAACGTAAACGAAAAGAAGAGTCCTCTAGATATAAGCAAGATAGATATCATTAATAATTATAATTATTCTGGCTGTGGTAAAGGTAAACTTTTATCTCAGTATTCCTTAGAAGAGATAAAAAATGAAAGTCACTTAAAAACCCATTCACAAATTTTGCAAACAAAAGATAACCGCCTGACGGATAGCAAAACTGTTATTTTTTTAAATGAGAGTAAGAAATTTGAAGATAAGCTAACACACACTGAAAAAAAACTTAATGGAAAGGAAACATACCAGGCAATTGACGAGCGTTTACTAAACCCGTACGTGCGACCTCCATTTAGTTATGCAACACTAATTGCTAGGGCTATTATGAGCGATCCTAGTAAGTTTTTTTAATTATTCACACCTATTTTTTATAAAAATCTTATATGTTATATATATTAATATCCATTTACAGACCAAAGCAAAGGCTTAACAGGCATATATAATTATATTGAAAAGGCTCATCCATACTATAAAAGAACAGCACATCAAGGTCGATGGAAAAATTCTATTCGCCATAATCTCTCCTTTAAAGAGTGTTTTGTAAGAAAATGCAGGGAGGACCAAAAAAGTGGTAAAAAAAAGGTAAAACCCAAGTATATATAAAAAGCACTACTAATAAATAACCTTTATACAAAAGATTCAATGGGAGATTAATTCGCAATATTCTCACTACTTTAGCAGTGATGGTAGCATTTTAATTAGTATTGATGACTGATATAATTTTTAAAAAACTTCATTATAAGGTACTTATATAAAAGCAAATAATGGCAAGCGAACTCAAAAAACTTTAATAAAAAATTCAATTTCAAAGGACGTGAAAAAAAGAAATGAAAGAAAAAGAAACAAAAAAGTGAAAGTAGATAATAATTCAGTCAGAAAAATGGAATATGGAACAGGATTGAGAGCTTGTGCCGTTAATTCTTTAAATACAACTATTCATACCGATTTTAAGAAGAATTGTGATGTAGGGGCCGAAACAATAAATAAAGTTACCTTCTTCAATAATCAAGAAGGGCAAAACTTTAACATTTCTGAAAGGATGAAAAGTGACAGATCGGAAAATGGTCAATCTTCTAGCTTCCCAATTTTTGGTCATAGCTCTAATACTATAGCGGTTCAAACAATTAATAAAAATAAAAGTCAACAATATTACCAACTTTTAAAAAATGTGGCAAAGGTAAGCCAAGTCAAAAAAGCTGTTATATCACCTGAAAGAGAGGGTTATACGGCTCGGTTGTTTGCAAACCAAAATTTAATAAATAAAGTAGGAACCTCGGTAAAAAAGCCTAAACAAACTAAAATTAAAACTGTAGATATGGAAAACAAAAAAAATGGACTTTTAATGCTTTCGACAATAGAAGAAGGAAAAGGAAAGTTAACATTTAAGTTAAATTTTAAAAATATGTCTAGAAATACGAAGTTTAATAAGGTGATCACAGATAAAAAAATGGGCAGAAAACATAATGAAGCCAACGTATTTGCTAAAGATGTCTCATACCTTATAAAAGAGAGTAATGTTGCTAATAAAGAAAATTTATGTTCGAATGGAGCTTTAATAAGGAAAACTACGTTTAGAACAGAACCAATTTTTGATGAAATACTTACTCCAGTCACCTTTCACTCATTGACCAAAAGAAAAAGAGGTAATTCTCATTCAAAAATTATTAATACTAAAGAAGAAAAGGCATCTAAAAAATCAAATTTAAGGTTAGAAAACTTGGTTGGTGTATTTAATTGTAATTTAAAAAGTAAAGTTAAAGCAAAAAACTGTATAAAAAGTGACAAATGTTATGGAGGCTTTATAGATGACCTGTATAACGCAAGTAGTAACTCCTCTAATTATGTTGATGATGTTATACTTGGAGGTAATAATAAAAGTTTAGGGTGTGATTTAATCTGCTTCCCACCTCTTTCTAGAATAAAGTTTTCTTCTCCAAATTCTGGGTTTTCTGTGTTGCCGAAACTTGAAGAACTTGAACCAGAGTCATATACTGATTCTAATTCCTTTTTATCAACTGGCTTCGATCCCCTGCCATCAGCTATTGACGAAGGACACTACAATTCAAACTTTTCTTTTGCAAATAGGGATCGGATGTTTTCTTTAAACAACTTAAATGCGTCAGAAGAACTTCTTTGGGCAGGTTTGTACTTATCATTTATCGTCATCCTTACTGTATGTACTATTTACTTGTACATAATTTAATTTATAGCTCCAGGACTTTTTTGTGAAACTGCTAAGGAAAAAACAAGTGATATAAGTAATTCTATCTTTTTAAACGAACTGACGAAGGGTGAATCTATTAACCCTTTCAACTGTATACAAAATTTAAACTTTAATGACAATACTTGTCCTGATATTAGCGTTGAAAATCTTTTTGGTAACGATAACTTACCATTCGAGACACCAAGTTATGATTCAGCGTCGCCCTACAACTTAAATTTATGTAAAAAAACTAATTTATATAATTCGCCTGAGTACAGCGACTTTTTAAACTCTACCGAAATCTCCGGCAAATTTGTTGAACAACTGATAAAAATGGATAGCCTAGAAAAGAAAAATTATTCTCTAAATGGCAGTGATGACTGGTCTGTGATTAAAAGTTCTCTGTATCACAATTCAAACGAGTTTAGTTATAAAAATGAGGTTAAGGGTAGCAATATTGAATCCAATTTTGATTTTACCAAAAGTCAAGCAGTTACCACTATTGATAAAGATGAGCTTGCATTGTTAAATGCTCTACATAACATCTTCCCTACTTACCAAAATAACGTTAACAACAAAAAAACTGATGTTATCCGTAAAGACCCAGCTACAGACGACCTTTGCCCGAACCATATACAAGAGATCAACTTAGCTTTTGACTACAACAACTTAAAACTAAATGACATGATTCCTGCAAATAATAAGTATATTGAAGATGATATTTTAAATAATAGTAGAGAACCTACTGCTAATGATTATATTGATATAAATAAAATTATTAATTTTAATGAAATCACATAATAAAATCTGTAATTTCCACCAAATTAAATACACGTCTCTACCTCTGCCAATTTATTTCAGGAGTAATTTAACCTTTTTCGGAGAGATACGAATACTTTTTTTTATAGTATCGAAGATAATATAGTTAACATATCCAAATATGACAAATTAGGTGGAATAAAAGAATATTTAATTTTGAAACTGAAATAGTAAATATGCCCTTATTTATAAATTTATTACGTACTGATTATTCTCTTTTACTTATCTATTAGGGTTTTGAACTTTTAATTAATTTGTACGGTGCACCATAATACCACTGCCTCAGTTGTCTTTCAG